AAACTGTTAATTTGAGATGATGTTTGATGTTCTATTAACAATCCTGATTTAAGCCCACAGTGTTTGGTGTAGTCCTGCACAAATGAAAGCTGCTTTATCTTTAGTAATTAAAAAAACTCATTATTATTGGTGCAGGTTAGTTATGCAAAATTATAGCGAAAGATCAGAAAAGCACATTTATAAACCCTCAACAGACCCTCCTCAGAACAATGGTAGCTAAAATAGCTCTGTACAAATACGAATGCGCATTATTTACTGTGATCTGATTAGGCATGGGCCGGTATAAGTTTCTGACGGCATGATAGCCTTGGATAAAAATTGTATGGTATCACAGTATTGTGATTACTGCTCTAAAATATTTTATTTTTAAATATCAGATTTTTTTTCCCCTTTAAAAACAATATATTTTATTTTTTGAAAGATTTCTAATATTTTGGAGCAGTAAACATGTCAGGCTAAACAATTCAAATGAATCACTGACTTCTGCTGTCTTCATTAGTTTCAAAAACACTGATTTCTTTACATTTTAAAACTCCATCTTTGGAAATCTTTTCTGCTGAAGATGCTGTTGTCCTAAAAAAAAAAAAAAAAAAATATATATATATATATATATATATATATATATATATATATATATATATATATATATATATATATATATATATATATATATATATAAACACACGCACACATACATGCATACATACGGTATTACAGAAAATTTTAGCAGTTTTAAATTCTTGACCTTTCCAAACCATGGTATACCTTGAAAACGGTTATCGTCCCACGCCTAGATCTGATTGTGCAAAATTCACCTTAATGCCTCATGTAAATGAAGCCAATATTGGAAAGTTTGATCATGTCTGAACTCCACTGATTTAGCATATTGTGGTTTCTCAACTCAGAACTGGACAACAAAGATGGCGCCAAGCTCTTCAGCAAACAGCCGAACCGCATCCAGCGAGTGGCCCGGGGGTCTGGAGTGGCCACCAGGGATGTACAAGAGTTGCTCACCCAGTACACAAAGTTTGCCCAGATGGTCAAGAAGATGGGAGGCATTAAAGGCTTGTTTAAAGGTAGAGTGATTTGTATCCAGTGCTTGTGAACAAACTGACATTGATGCATGCAAAGTGTTTGTTTCATGATCTAATTAAATTATGGTGGTGGTGTTTTTTAAAGGAGGAGACATGTCCAAGAACGTCAACCCATCACAGATGGCGAAACTGAACCAGCAGATGGCTAAAATGATGGATCCAAGAGTGCTTCATCACATGGGTATGAGCTCCACTGATACTCTTAGGGTGTTTTAACACCTGCTTAGTATTTGTTTCAGATCCTGGTGCATTTTCTTTCTTTTTTTTTACTTTGGTTTGTTTATCCTTATATGAACTACAGAAATAATAGCATTTTGTAAATATAGTGACCAAAATGATCATGGTTCTCAACAATCCCGGTTTTGTTAAAAATGATCTGAAAATGCTCTAAAATACAATTCATTTCTACCAGGGTTCAAAATGAACTAACAACAACTTAAAATTTGCAGCTCATTGCAATTTTGTGACAAACAACATAAACCTGGATCCCTGCATTATGGATTTGTTTACTTAAGTTTGTTTATATATATATATATATATATATATATATATTAGATAGATAGATAGATAGATAGATAGATAGATAGATAGATAGATAGATAGAGAGAGAGAGAGAGAGAGAGAAAGATAAATAGAGAGAGTTTTTGTGTTTTTATTGGTAATTCAGGGTTTTGTTTGTTTACATTGTTTTCACAATATTGCTGCTTCTTTAAATACTGTATATATTGCTTTTATAGTAAAACAATTGCAAAAAAGGTTGTACAATTTAATAAAAAATCTAATTGTAGTTTTTCAAATCATATTGCGATTTGATTTGTGATTTTAATTTGGTGAAGACAGGCTTCAGGTCTGTATTAATACTGTGCAGGACACAATTTAAATGAAAGGAATACAACACTGACTGACTGTGTGTGTGTGTGTGTGTGTGTGTGTGTGTGTGTGTGTGTGTGTGTGTGTGTGTGTGTGTGTGTGTGTGTGTGTGTGTGTGTGTGTGTGTGTGTGTGTATAATATTGCGAAATGCAAGTATATTTATATACACTCACCGGCCACTTTATTAGGTACACCTAACTAGTACCCGGTTGGACCACCTTTTACCTTCAGAACTGCCTTAATTCTTCATGGAATAGATTCTTCAAGGTACTGGAAAATTCCTCAAAGATTTTGGTCTAAATTAACATGATAGCATCACGCAGTTGCTGCACATCCATGATGCGAATCTCCCGTTCCACCACATCCCTAAGGTGCTCTATTGGATTGAGTTCTGGTGACTGTGGAGGCCATTTAAGTACAATGAACACATTGTCATGTTCAAGAAACCAGTCTGAGACTATTTGCACTTCATGACATGGTGCGTTATCCTTCTGGAAGTAGCCATCAGAAGATGGGAACACTGTGGTCATAAAGGGATGGACATGGTCAGCAACAATACTCGGGTAGGCTGTGGCGTTGACACGATGCTCAATTGGTACTAATGGGCCCAAAGTGTGCCAAGAAAATATCCTCCACACCATAAAACTACCACCACCAGCCAGAACTGTTGATACAAGGCAGGATGAATCCATGCTTTCATGGTGTTGATGCTAAATTCTGATGCTACCATCCAGATGTCGCAGCAGGAATCAAGACTTATCAGACTTGGCAATGTTTTTCCAATCTCTTATTGTCCAATTTTTGTGAGCCTGTGCGATCTTAGCAGAAGGTGTGGTCTTCTGCTGCTGTAGCTCATCCGCCTCAAGGTTGGATGTGTTATGCATTCAGAGATGCTCTTCTGCAGACCTCGGTTGTAACGGGTGGTTCCTTAAATTACTTTTGCCTTTCTATCAGCTGCTACCAGTCTGGCCATTCTCCTTTGATCACTGGCGTCAGCAAGGCATTTGTGCCCACAGAACTGCCGCTCACTGGATATTTTCTCTTTTTCTGACCATTCTCTGTAAACCATAGAGATAGTTGTGCGTGAAAATCCCAGTAGATCAGCAGTTTCTGAAATTCTCAGACCAGATAGACTGGCAACATCAAGCATGCCACATTCGGAGTTACTTAAATCACCTTTCTTCCCCATTCTGATGCTCGCTTTGAACTGCAGCAGATCGTCTTGACCATGTCTACATGACTAAATGCATTGAGTTCCTGCCATGTGATTGGCCGATTAGAAGTTTGCGTTAGCAAACAGGACAGGTGTATCTAATAAAGTGCCCGGTGTGTGTGTGTATTTTATTTATATATATATTTTTATATATATATATATATATATATAAAACTGTCTATATAAACAATGTATTATCATTGCAACCTTTCACAATGAGCTAATCACAATGTTACAGGACTTACAGTGAGTTTTTAATATCGCAATCATAGTTTTAATGATGAGAATTTTTTAAAACTGTAATACTAAATGTCAGAAAAATTACAATACTTTAGCTTGAAACCGATAATCATGACAGCATCTGAACCAACTGAAAACACTTGTATAATAATTTGTGCACATGTATTTTTGTGGTAAAGTCTTACTTACAGGGGTTTCTCTTGGTTTCTTGTAAGGTGGCATGGCCGGACTGCAGTCTATGATGAGGCAGTTTCAACAGGGAGCTGCTGGCAACATGAAAGGCATGATGGGATTTAACAACATGTGAACCTGCAAACAGAGGACACTAAAAGAATCTGATGGTTTTGGCAAGCAAAACGGGCCGATGAAGATAGTTTGATTTGTATGTCTTGTATGCCACAAGTAATTTAATTCTTTAAAAGGTGTAAAACATTAAATGGAGGCACATTTACATGTAAAAGCCCAATGTGTCTTCTTTGGAGCAGGATTGATATGGGGGACTATTAGAAGAAATTATGCTTCCTGAGATCAAGTCCAGCGACGTTCAAAATGTCACGTGAGGTTGGAAAGTGATCAGCTTGGCAAATACACACACACACACACACACACACACACACACACACACACACACACACACACACACAGAGACGTCTGGATCTGAGTGCTTTACGATACTGCCAGACTTGTCGACAGCTGATTTCTTTCGGTTATATGATTTTACCGTAATTGCTATGACCGTCTTCATAGCAAAGGATATTCATAAGTAGAAAATCATGGTTTATTGTATAATTGACTGTTTCTGATTTATTAATCTGCCATAGAGAAGCTCCAGCTTTGTATCAGAGATGAATACAGTAGTTGCAAAAGAGTATGTGGCAATATTTTGTCATAATATTATAATAAAGTTTATATGGCAACATTTTAACAATATTTGTCTCTCTTTTTTTAAATCTTTGGTTTGTTTGTACTGAAATTATGTCTTCAAATATTGAATCTGTGTGAGTGAAGTGACTGTATTATTTGCATTGTTTATGATGTATGTAATCCAGGCTGTGCAAAGAAAGAGCTAGACAAATTTACACTGAGATTAGTTGGTAATCTTTGTTTTATCCCTTGTAAAATGATTGTAACTAGTTCAAAATATCTTAAAATTATTTAACTTGGCAAACATTGTAAATATACTTATTCACGTTTTAAATGACTCTTTAACCAAGGAAATTGAATTAAATGTATAAGTATATGCTAATCACATTTTTATGTGACACACAGTTAAATGTTTACTGGTTATTTAATTAAGGAAATTAATTTCTGATCTTTTTAAATATATTTTACATCTAACTATTCAGAATTACTAAACAGATCCAAATAAAGTATTTTACGAGTGTTTAAAAGACTTAAAGCAAACAATTTAATATATTTTAAATATTAATAAATTAATATTTAAAAAAATCACAGAATTAAACTAGATATGATTTGCATTTAGATGAAGCGTTACTTTTATAGCAGACAACAAAATGAGTGCGGGACTCTTGACGTGGCACCGACTCCATGTTGAGCTGCTACGTCATTAGCTCGGGCACTCGCTTCTGCTCGTGAGCGCGCTGTCACTGACTGGGAGTCTCTGAGGAGACACAAAATCAAGGATTCAGGTACGTCTAAACTCAACTTTCTCTCAACAGACATCGGCTATTGAACCCTGCATTAGTGATCCGGTCAATGAGGAGGATTTTGAAACCTTAGCTGGACCGTAGTTCAAGAAATGGAGGGTTTAAAGGGCATTTAGCTTTAAGTCAGTGTTGACTAGAAGCATCATGTCTACGTAACATCAACAAGCAGGTCATCCGAGCGGTTGTTCACTGAATTGTTTGATGGGATCAGATCTTTATATAGTGATTATAGGCACTTAAGTTGTTTTAATCTTGATATACGTGAATGTTTATTCCCTAAACTACCGAACTAGCTTTCTGTGGCTAATTCTGGAGGGTGGGCTAACGCCCCCAGTGGATCGCTATAGAGTGAGTAAAACTAAACTAAAAGTATTATTGACCAAACTAAAATAGCTATCTGACCAACGTTGGCATGTGTGAGGCTTAACAGACTTTTGTTTTAAAACAGTTTTGTTTTTCTCTCCTTAATAGAAATTAATGCTACATTTGCTATGATGAGCTATATAATGTTGGTTATTTACTCGAAAACTTGGCAGGCTGTTGCATTGCTTGTTTGTTGTGAAGTTAATTACTTCTCTAAGTTACAAGTGTTGTATTTCACACACTTTACTGTTTTTGATGTGTTTTTCTTCATTGGTTTGGGGTCTTCTCATCTGCACATGTGGCATTTTTGGTTCTCATCTGTAGTTAGTCTATGATAGGGACTTTCAATGAAATTTTTAAAACTAAACCCAGAAATGTGATTTTATTTACGTAGAAAGCATATTATAGGCAAGTAAAGTGTCTTCTCTAAGGTTTCAAATTACTTGTCACGATAAAAAAAAATCTAAATCAATGTTTCTTAATCAATCGGTGCAACATACACTCACCGGCCACTTTATTAGGTACACCTTACAAGTACCGGGTTGGACCCCTTTTGCCTTCAGAACTGCCTTAATCCTTCGTGGCATAGATTCAACAAGGTACTGGAAATATTCCTCAGAGATTTTAGTCAATATTGACATGATGGAGTCATGCAGTTGCTGTGGATTTGTCAGCTGCACATCCATGATGCGAATTTCCCACATCCCAAATGTGCTCTATTGGATTGAGTTCTGGTTACTGTGGAGGCCATTTGAGTACTCATTACCATGTTGGAGGAACCAGTCTAAGATGATTCACGTTTTATGACATGGCACGTTATCCTGCTGAAAATAGCCATCAGAAGATGGGTACACTGTCTTCATAAAGAGATGGACATGGTCAGCAACAATACTCGGGTGGGCTGTGGGGTTGACACGATGCTCAATTTGTTATAATGGGCCCAAAGTGTGGCAAAAAGATAGCTCTCACATCATTACACCACCACCAGCAGCCTGAACGGTTGATACAACGCAGGATGGATCCATGCTTCCATGGTGTTGACACCATATTTTGACCCTACCATTCGAATGTTGCAGCAGAAATCGAGACTCATTAGACCAGGCAACATTTTTCAAGTCATCTGTTGTCAAATTTTGGTGATCCTGTGTGAATTGTAGCCTCAGTTTCCTGTTCTTAGCTGACTGGAGTGGCACCCGGTGTGGTCTTCTGCTGCTGTAGCTCATCTGCCTCAAGGTTGGACATGTTGTGTGTTCAGAGATGCTCTTCTGCATACCTTTGTGGTAACAAGTGGTTATTTGAGTTACTGTTGCCTTTCTATCAGCTCAAACCAGTCTGGTCATTCACCTCTGACTTCAACAAGGCATTTGCGCCCACAGAACTGCCGCTCATTTTCTCTTTTTCAGACATTTTCAGGCACCAACAAGCATGCCACGTTCATAGCAACTTAGCAACCTTTCTTCCCCATTCTGATGCTGGGTTTGAACTGCAGCAGATCGTCTCTTGACCATGTCTACATGCCTAAATGCAATGAGTTGCTGCCATGTGAACGGCTGTTTAGAAATTTGTTAATGAGCAGTTGGACAGATGTACCTAATAAAGTGGCCGGCGAGTGTATATATTCATGGAAACATGGAAAAAGTAATTTAATCTTACCCTGAATTATTCAAATATATAAAAAGAATAAGTTATCATAATAAACTTTTAAACATATCACTGCCAAATAGCTAAAACATAGTAGTTTCAAGGAGATTGGTAAAGAAGACTCTTAAGGCATTACCAAACTATCCCTGTTCAAAATAAGTGTATTTTATTTGTTAATGGTCGATTTATTCATCAGAAAATTAGAAACATTCTTTTTATGAATCAATACTTTATAAAGCATCTACCTAGACAGGATTTTTGGCATCATAATTGTGACCAAACCCAAAAAATATAAGCAGTTACTCAAAACTCAAAGGTGTAGTCACCCAAAAGTGAAAATGTACTCACTATTTGCTCACCCTTGAGTGGTTATTGTAAACATTTATAACTTTCTGAAACCTGAAAACCTGTAACCACTGACATCCATAGAAGGACGTATACATTGTAAATCAATGGTAACAGATTTCCAGCTTTCTTCAAATTTATTCAAGGAGTTATTGATGACAGAACATTTTTTGGTGAACTGTCCCTTTAATATAGTAGTTTTAGTATGTTTATATCTGCAAAAGTCGCAATTAAATAAGTAAAATATCTACTAAGTATGTCTACTTAGTGAAATGTGTTCATACTTGAGTGTTTTCAGATCAGATCTTATATCTCTTATCTCATTCCAGCATTTAATGATATGTGATGTGACATTATAGTTTGCCCTGTGTCCAAAGGGTAACACTGAATCAGACTGGGCTGGTCTGTTTCTGTATACACACACACAAATACACAGATCATATCGTATGTAACTACCCGCCGGTTGATAAAACACTCCACGCTTCCAAATACTGATGTCCATATGGATTTCCTTTATTGAACACCGTGAAAACTAAAAGATAAACAAATAAACAAACCAAATGTTTCACACAAACACAGATCAAAAGGACATCAAAATAAACAAATAATATATAAACAATGTTTAGTTTACCGTGTTGGCCTGATAACCAGCTGTAGAATACGCAGGAACATTAAACAGGTGCTTGCATTGAGATCTCGCTATCCTGAGTGACCATTCAAACTCTCGCAGGTTAAATCAATCAATGAGAATCATGTGACTTCCCACTCAGGCCAACCGGAAACAAAGAAATTAGTAACAAACATATACCAATACACATTCAAACAATGAAATTCAAAACAATAAACAAAATTACAAGCTGACCAATCAGCGTCAGCTACATCGTATGTGTTCAATACATCACTGCATGCATTTCTTTACAACTTCTGTACAACTCGCAGATTCCAGAGGGTGCGATGGCGACCTTCCAGGAGTTCATCCAGCAGAACGAGGACCGTGATGGCGTCCGTTTCAGCTGGAACGTTTGGCCGTCCAGTCGTCTGGAAGCCACGCGTATGGTTGTGCCGGTGGCCTCGCTGTTCACCCCGCTGAAAGAGCGTCCGGATCTCCCCCCCATTCAGTACGAGCCGGTGCTGTGCAGTCGGGCCACGTGCCGAGCTGTGCTCAATCCTCTGTGGTAAGTCTGAGAGATCAGAGTCAGAGTCGACAGCATAATGAGTTCACAGATGGAGGATCTGCTCCTTATCCGGGGCAGTAATTTCCAAATAAACACATTTATTATGAAAGCTGGATACATTATACGTGATGCTCTAATATTATTGTGCTTCTGTTTTTTTCCTTTTCCCACTGTTTGAACAATCAGTCAAGTGGATTACAGAGCAAAACTCTGGGCATGCAACTTCTGTTATCAGAGAAATCAGGTACAGTCATTGCTGTTCTCCAGAGTTACAGAGCTGAGATTAACATTTAATTGGACAGCCAGATTAATCTGTCCACAACTTTTGTAAATTAAATTAAAAAGCTAAACGTGATTGTTTTAAAAAAAAATGTATTTACCCCAAAAAATAAACTATTTCCATAATTGTGATTTCACATATTGTTACTGTCCAATGTGCAATTTTAAACAATGAAATCTATATGTGACCCTGGACCACACAACAAGTCATGCATGCACGAAAGCTGAATAAATAGGGTTTCATTTGATAATATGGAATGGTTTGTCAGGATAGGACAATATTTGGCTGAGATATGGTTTCTCCAAAATCTGAGGGTTAAAAAAAAATCTAAATATTGATAAAGTTGTCTACAAAATAGTTTAAATGAAGTACTTTGCAATGCATATTACTAATCAAACATTGAGTTTTGATGTCGGCGCCAGTAGTGTAATGGTTAGTCCGTCAACACATGCACTCCGGTGCTGACGACGACCCGAGTTTGATTCCCGTCTTGCGGTCCTATGCTGATCCTTCCCCTCTCTCTGCTTTCCTGTCAATACACTCTACTATCCTATCCATTAAAGGTAAAAATTCAGAAAAAAATTATTAATATATATATATAAAATATAATATATATATATATATATATATATATATAAATGTCTTTTAAAAAAAATCAAAAACTGCTTTTATTCCAGCCGAAATAAAACTAATAAGAATTTCTCCAGAAGAAAAAAACATTATCAGACCTTCTCTGAAAATTTCCTTGCTCTGTTAAACATCATTTGCAGAATATTTAAAAAAGACAAAAAAAATCAAAGGGGGGTATAACTGTATGTTGTTTTAAATAATAAAATTTAAATAGACTTTCGGATGTTTTCCATGCATAAGTAAGGTTTTTACAGCCTTAAAAAAAGTGCATTGCATTTTTAAAGCTTTTTTTTTTGTATTAATATTGTTAAACAATATCCCTGTGCTTTTATAGTTCCCACCAACCTATGCTGGAATATCTGAAGTCAACCAGCCTGCTGAGCTACTTCCACAGTTTTCAACTATTGAATATGTTGTCCAGGTAAAGCTATTAATTACACCTTTTCAAGGTATATAAAAAGTGAACAATAGAATTGGATAAACCATTGTATGGTCCTAAATATGGATCTAATGTGGTATATAAACATACCAAACAGCTATTAGAAATATATTAGAAATTAATAAATTATAATAGTTTACTTATCGAATTGATCTCACGTCTCAAATGTATAATATTTTTATTAACATGAAAGTTTAACGTCTGTTTTAGCTAATGTTATAATGCTTTCTGCAATTATATTTAAACTTTGATTGAATGATTGTGTTGCTATTGAATAGCGTGGTCCACAAATGCCCCTAAACTTCCTGTATGTGGTGGACACGTGCATGGAAGATGATGATCTGCAGGCGCTGAAAGAGTCCCTTCAGATGTCGCTCAGTCTGCTGCCCCCTACTGCCCTAGTGGGCCTCATTACATTTGGACGGATGGTTCAGGTTCACGAGCTGGGCTGTGAAGGCATCTCTAAGAGCTACGTTTTCAGAGGGACCAAAGACCTCAATGCTAAGCAGCTCCAGGTAGAGATTACTGCAAATGAAGCTCATTTGAAAAGGATCGTTCACCCAAAAATGAAAATTGACTCATCCTCAAGTGGTTTCAGACTTTTGAGAGTTTATTTATTGTGTCAAACACAAAAGATGATAATTTGAAGAAAGCTGGAAACTGGTAACCATTGATATCCATAGTATTTGTTTTTGCTTAAATGGAAGTTAATGGTGACTGAGTTGATTTTCTGATGCTTGTCTTTACATCCAAAAATCCACTGCATTAATGACAGTTCATTCTTCAAAATATCTTCTTTTTATGCTCAACAACAACAACAAAAAGTAAAATGGGTTTTAAACAACGACTGAAGAGTGAGTAAGTTATGATGGAGTTTTCAGTTTTGGGTGAACTATCTTCAACATATCTCTTATTTTATACAGATTTTATGGTGTAAATCTTGTTTGCAGGAGATGCTTGGGTTAACTAAACCAGCTGCAGCCCAGGCAGGCCGAGGCCCACAGCAGCCTCAGGTTCCTCCATCAAACAGGTGAGCTAAACAAGCTTTTATTGCCACCTTCCAACTTTAAAGTGCTTCTTTGAATATGTAAAGTTTTATGCAAAAGGTCTGCAATGTTTTCAAGTGCTCAATAAATAGAGTTGTCTTCCGAAAGCATGAAACAGTTTGTAACTGCATGAACTGGGTAATTCTAGCTTTACTTGATGCACAAGCTACATGGGTTTGCAAACAATGCACATAATGGAAGCCAGTGATCCTAGTTTGCTTCCTGCAATGTCTGCTTTGACCTTCAAACAGTGTAGCTGAGGTTGGTTCAAGTTATCGAATTTCAGGGTTTCTGCAGGTTTCACAAAGTCAAATTTAAGACTTTTTAAGACCATTATGGAATTTCAGACTTACAAACCAGCTCAAATGTTCACGAATAAAACGTGTTGTGGTAATGCACAATCGTTAGTGATTTGAGACATTTTATAACAGCACTCCTGCAACATTCTCTCTTGTTATTTATCTTATTTATCTTTCATTTATATCCATTATTAATAGCCTATTTAAGTGTTAAGGTAGGCCCACGTGTAATCTGCGTGCACAGAATTCCGTAGATTTCCAAACAATTCTGCAGATTTCCGCAGATTTTTAGCCCAGTGTTAATTCTGTTTATTTACTTGAGTAAATGTGTGTACTTATATTTATTCAGTTTTAAATTTATTTCAGTAATATTAATAATTAATATGAAAATGTTCATCTGATTTATGTACAATGCAGTTTGTAGTATAATATTTTCTGTCTTTTAGTAGAGATATTATATGAGAGACTTGTTTTGTTTACCAAATAAACTGAAGTGAATCTAATTACTGTTACTTCACATATTAAGGTTTTAGTTATGATACACCCAATATAATTCCGCAGAAATCCGCAGATTTTTACCAAAATTCTCAGCAGAAATTGCAAAAAAACATTCGCAAATTCCGTCTGGAAAAGCTGTTTTTGTCAGTCATGCTGCTTCTCGATTCTAAGATCACATTTGTACGCATATAGACAAACAGTCTCATCTGTAGTGACGACGAGCCGGCACTGGCAATTTCAAAATATTTTTTTATTTTGCTGCAAATTTGAATATGTGATAGAGGATGCTAATTTAAAAACAGCAGTCTTAAAAATAAAGGTGCTGAAAAGGTTATTTGTTGGTGTTGATCAGAGGTCACCAATCTCTGTCCTAGAGGGCCGGTGTCACTGCAAGGTTTAGCTCCAACTTGCCTCAACACACCTACCTGGGTGTTTCAAGTACACCTTGATTAGCTTGTTCAGGTGTGTTTGATTAGGGTTGGAGCTAAAATCTGCTGGACACCGGACCTCCAGAAACAAGTTTGTTGATCCCTGGTGTAGATGGTTCTTTGAAGAACCTTAAACAGCCATGGAACCTTTTCAACTCATAAAAGGTTCTTTGTAGCCCCAAATGGTACATGATAGCCTCACTGTAAAAAAAAAAAAAAATTTAAATAAATAAATAAATAAAAATGTGTGTGTGTATATATGTATGTATGTATGTATATATATATATATACACACACACACACACACACACACACACACACACACACACACACACACACACACACACACATACATACATACATACATATATATATATATATATATATATATATATATATATATATATATATATATATATATATATATATATATATCTATACAGAGTTTTAGCCGGCCAAAGTGGCTAGTGAGAGTGGCTGAACTCCACATCTGAAATCTTGGCGGGTGTTAATGTAAAGCTCTGTATTCATCTGTTTGCCCCTGTGTTGACCATTGCTTGTCTGACCATTCTAGTAAACCTGCACTTGGATCCGCACCCCTATTGTCAGCGTCACTTCCCTGTTACAGTTTGTTTTACCTTGAATTTATGTAAGCTTGATGTAGCCCTTTAAAATGACATAATAGAAGCACTTTAAATCTTCACAGTATATAGATTAATGATTTCTTTGCATATTCAAGTTAATATATGCAAAAATTGAATTAAACGTTGTCATGTTTTTGTTATTTGAATATTTGTGTGCTCAGGTTTCTCCAGCCGGTGCAGAAGATAGATATGAATCTGACAGATTTGCTGGGTGAGCTGCAGAGAGACCCCTGGCCCGTCACTCAAGGAAAGCGTCCGCTGAGATCACTCGGAGTGGCTCTTTCTATTGCTGTTGGGCTCTTAGAGGTGAGGTTTTTCACAATTCAAGACTTGTGTTCATTTCTTTAACGGTCTGCCGGTATTAAGACTCATTTGTCGGCAGCTGCAGCCAAATTTGTGTTTAGGAATGCAATGAAAAGAAAATTCTGGATGCACCTGGCCAAAAACTGAAACCGCTTTGCAGTAATTATTTATTTTTTAATTTATTAAATTATGTAAAGTAATTTTGTAAGATGTTTTTCAAATTTAGCTCAGTAACTTAAATTATACATTTAAAAAAAAAAAGAAAAAAACACAAGCCAAGGGGCGGTGCGGTGGGTAGCGCTGTCGCCTCACAGCAAGAGGGTCACTGGTTCGAGCCTCTCCTGGGTCGGTTGGCATTTCTCTGTGATGTTTGCATGTTCTCCCGGTGTTGACGTGGGTTTCCCCCACAGTCCAAAGACATGCGCTATAGGTAAATTAGGTAAGCTAAATTGTTCGTAGTGCATGTGTGAATGAGTGTGCATGTGTGTTTCCCAGTAATGGGTTGCAGCTGTAAGGGCATCCGCTGCGTAAAACATATGCTGGATAAGTTGGTGGTTCATTCTGCAGTGGCGACCTCTGATTAATAAAGGGACTAAGCCGAATTGAAAATGAACGAATGAATGAACACAAGCCAACACAATAACCAGATTTTATTGACATTAAACTTTCCCTGAATCTGTGATCATTTTCAGCAGCCAAAAATTAGGTGCATCTCTATGTTTTCCACACTTTGGTTTTATAAATAAGTTTTTAAAACCATGAACTAACACACATAGATGTATGAAAATGTGACCAATTTGTGATTTTTGACCAAATCTAAAGCTTCAGAATAATTTTACACACTCTAGGGCTCAACAATAAGGACTGCCCGATGGCCCTGGGCCAGCTTGAGAGACGCTCGGGACAGTAGACAAGATCGTTACTGGCCCGATTGGGCCAGTGCTGCACGGTCACTAAAGTTTAATTTGCCTATGACAGTGCAACCATTTGTCAATTGTGTAGAATCGAGAAACAGTTTGTGCTTTCAAGCCTTTAAATGCTACCCTCTCTGTCATGTCATAAACACCATATTGCTTTTCAGTTCCTCCTATCTGATTGGATATTGTGAGCACGTATCTGGTTATTTTTGTCTGTAACTTGGTAACAACCAGTACAGCAAAGAGACAGCAACATGGCGGCAACATCAAATTATGAGGCTAATGTCTTGGAAGCAGACATTTATGTGGGTACAACAGGTTAAAATGAAGCGGGGTTTGGCACAGTTTGTCGTCAGTTTGGCAAAGCAGCCACCTTTTGTTAAATCATTTAGAACTGCAATAAAATACCTGCATGTTTTCTATACTGCACTTTTAGTTAACATAACACTTTGAATTAATTATTAATCAGTATATTAAAATACATTAAACACAGTAACTTCTAAAGACATTGTTTTGACGCATTATTTAAAGTATGTGTCTAAGAAATAGCTATTAACTTGTTGTTTTTTTTGGTGGGACCAGTGAAAATTTTGGCAGGGCAAGTAAAAATCTGACCTACTTGCCCGACCGGTCCAGTTGAAAAAATCCTTAGTGTTGAACCCTGCACTCCAAGCACACTCTTAAACATGTATATGCGTCCTGGGATGGACTTTAAACATTGATGAAAAAACTATCATGCGTAATTGCTTTTCATTCACTGTTGTTCAAAAATTAAAAGGTCCTACTTTATTTTAGGGGGCCTTAATTAATATGTACTTACACTGAAATTGATAATTACAATTTACTTTTTACTTAATTAATTTACAATTTGCTTTGTACTTATGCTTTATCAAACTCATGCATGTAATTTCATCGGTCCCACTGTATTTTAAGTGTCGCTTATACCTGTAAACTTACACTGAACTAGATGTGTAAGTAGTTTGCAACTACAGTGTATATACGCACTGGTGCATAGTATTTACTTGTGTAATACTGCTGTAACTACACACATGTAAAAACACTGATTAGTAGGTGTAGGTTCAAATGTCTTGTACTTCTTCTTATGTTCAAATCTTTGGTAAACTACTCTTTTATTGTAAATTACTGATGTGTTTCTGCAGTTTACCTTAAAACAACATGTAAACAAGGCATTTGTATATTTCTATATACACTTATACTTTTTTGGAAGAAGTTTGTTGTTGTTAAACAGTTGCACAAAGGCTTAGGCTTTACAGTAATTTGTGACCATTTTACACTTTATATTGAATGGACCGTTCCTGATGATTTACCCTGTAATTACACTGGTATCACAAGGTGAAACCTTCTGATGCAGCGTTTGTTCTGTTATTCTTAAATTATTAGTGTTCAGAACGTACATGGTATGCAAACAGGTGTGGAAGTGGGAAAACACCTGCAAGCATATTGTTACACAATGCACTTATGTAATTCTTGTTACAGATGTTTACTTTCTCAGTGTTGTTCCTAATGTCCTGTTACACATTTGTACTTACACATACTATTTAGTGTGTTGTTACATGTGTGTAGTTACACCAGTATTACACAAGTAAATACTACGTACCAGTGTGTTCATACACTGTAGTTACATACTACTTCCTCATCTAGTTACCATGCAAGTTCACAGGTATAAACGACACTTAATATAAAGTGGGACCATTTCATCTGTTATCAATTTCTGTAGTTACATTTTATAACTACACTATTGATCCATCCCTTACATCAGAGGTGTCCAAACTCGGTCCTGGAGGGCCGATGTCCTGCAAAGTTTAGTTCCAACCCCATCAGACACACCTGGGCTAGCTAATCAAGCTCTTACTAGGCTTTTAGAAACATTTACGCAGGTGTGTTGAGGCAAGTTGGAGCTAAAATCTAGAGGGTCTGTGTCCTGGAGGACTGAGTTTGAACACCCCTGCCTTACACCATTACCCGAACCCATGCCAACTCAAGAGCATCAGAATTGTTCTGCAATAAATTATGAACACATTGTGTACATTGTTTTTATATTTTGATGAAAGTACATTGTAGTTAAGGACACTCAATATAAAGTGGGACCAGTTCATATTTTGCAATGTGAAACATTCACACATTGATCAGTTTTGCTTTGTGCTTTTTAAAGGGATAGTTCACCCAAAACTGAATATTCTGTTATCATTTACTCATCATTTGCGCTTCTTTATTCTGTAGAACATTAAAGAAAATATTTTGAAGAAAGCTGGAAACCTGTTACCCTTTGATTTCCATAATATTTGTTTAGCCTAATATGGCAGTCAGTGATTACAGGTTTTCAGCTTTCTTCAGAATATCTTCTTTAGTGTTATACAGAAGAAAGAAACTCACAAAGGTTTGCAACCATGATGGTTTCGAATTTTTGGGTGAACTATCACTTTAATTGTTTCCTTTTGTGTACCTGTCTCTTGTAGTGCACTTTCCCCAACACTGGCGCCCGTATCATGGCTTTTATCGGTGGACCGGCCACTCAGGGTCCTGGCATGGTGGTCGGAGATGAGCTGAAAACACCTATTAGATCCTGGCATGACATCGAGAAAGACAATGCCAAGTTTATGAAGAAAGCCACTAAAGTGAGTCCTCCTGTACTTGTTATCTATGACTCGGTTAGATAAAGTACCAGCATCCGGGTGTTAGCATTGAATTCAGACATCAGTTTATGATATTAAGTCAGTCAGTCTATTCTTAACCATGTGACATTTTATATATATATATATATATATATATATATATAAAAGCTATTTTTTAAGCCAATTTTTGCTGACATTTAAGCAATAGACGCATTATAATGCATCATATGTATCTTAAATGGGGTATATGCACACACTTTACATTTTCAGTCAGCCACTTCAAGAGTTTTCTGTGAACTGTCATCCCAATACAGGTTTAAGATCTGATTTCTTTAAAAATTAATGATCTTCACTGCCTCATTGATATATGATATAACGAAAGGACTGCATTAAATTAAATTTTTAATGCCATCTCTTTAAAACATGGTAATGTATTTTACCCCAGCATTTTCAAAGGAGTTTCTGCGCTACTACTGATGGCACTTGTGTTAACATGGCCTTTCATCTCATTTTAACCTTAAACAGCTAAATGAATGCTTAAGTCTATTTATCTGATTTTATTTTAGTTACATTAAAAAATCATTGCTGTAAAAGAAACATTATGAAATTAAAAATAGTCACATAAACCTTTTAAGTTTACTGTTGGCTGAAAAACCCTAGCTATGCGAACCCATGACCTTAATGCTAACAGAGTCATTCTCTGCACTTTGAGATACAGGAATACAGCATTAAAGTTATTGTACACATGTAAAATAATATGTATTGCCTTCTAGCACTACGAAGCTTTGGCCAATCGCGCAGCTGCCAATGGACACATCATTGATATTTATGCGTGCGCTCTGGATCAGACAGGATTACTGGAAATGAAGTGCTGCACCAACTATACAGGGTATGTGGCTCTATTTTACATTAACATTTATAAACATATCACTGCATATCATCCTGTGTATGTAAAAAAATCTATTTGTATTTGTAATTTTTCTAAATTTGAATTGATTTATTTGGCAGTGTTTCTTTTTCTTTTTAAAGTGTTTATGTTAAGACTTTGGCGATATTTAAAGCATGTTGAAATCTGACGTTTTTGTTCTCAGTTGTTTCAGATTAAACCTTTAAAACTTTCATTTTAATTTTGAAGTTAGTGGATGAAATATATGGACCTAAAAGTCTAAACACTTCACTGATATAGCGTACAACCAAGCACATGTGGTCAGAACACAAACGAGTAACTATAAAGAACAGATCTTAAATAAAACAAATACTTTTATAGAGATGGTATAGAAGTATATAATTTCACTCACCTGACAAATGGAGGCAACTTGAACAGTTTGTGAGCACAATGAAGTGCACACAGCATGCTATTTCATCTGATTATTGTAGGAAATAATCCCAAAAGGCAGTTGACTGTGTAAAGATAAAGAAACATTAAACAAAACAATAATATGATGTAAAAGGCGAGCTTAGCGGCTAATTAGCCGGAATCAGCTGAGGTGACGAGACAGCAAGTAGCAAGATCTAGCTGTCACTCAAGTGGCCACGCCCTTAATTATGCAGACGTAATGTAACTTAATAAAAATGAAACGGATGAATTATGAAAAAGTTCACCCCCCTCATAGTTGTCATAAAGGGTAATCATAGCTATATGCACCAAAGCCATCTTTTGTACCAGGTTATAAACATGTTTTTATCAGCTGTAAAAATGGCAAATTTACCACTGCAGTCAGAAATCATCTGGATTTCCTGGAGCAGCCCCCAAGGCGAGTCGATGAATTCCAGTTTTAGTTACTTCCATATTGGCTTCCCGAGGGAGAGCTCGAGGTTGCCGCTTGGTTACCACCAAGTATGCTTGGGCAGCTGTTAATATACCTGGGCGATCCGTCCATGTGTGGGAAGCACCGACCATTTTACAAAGCATGTTGTAAACATGATGCAAATTTCGACAGATTGAAAACAGCATCACTGGTTTTTGAATAAAAGAAGAAAAGGTACAAACTATGAGCCAAAAAGACATCGCTCAATTGATAATAAGTATGTAAAAATGTCTGCTCAAACAGAAAACAAGCATATTCTGCTCACAACAGAAAAGAAATACACATAGTAATATATCCACCAGGATTTTATCACTCTTTACTAATTTATTATGTTTACTTTGCAGGATTTCTATTCCTTTTGTACAAAAAAAGTCGGTCCCACTTTATATTAAGTGTCCTTAACTACTATGTATTTGCATCAAAAAATAAAAACAATGTACTTACTGTGTTCATAATGTATTTGAGAACACTTGTGGTGCTTTTGAGTTGGGATAGAGGTTTGGTTATGGACAGGTTTGGTGGTGTGGATAGGTTTAAGGGTGGGTTAAGGTGTAGGGAATGGTCAGCAGTGTATTTACAAATGTAATTACAGAAGTTAATTACAGATGTAATTACATACAGGTTTTTAATGAAGCATAAGTACACAATAAATGTATTTACACAATAAGCACATTGTAACAAACTATTAATTCCTGTGTAAGCACATATTAGTTAAGGCCACTTATTATAAAGTGAGACCAAAAAGTCTCTCATTGGGTGTTTTATCAAAAGATTATTGTGCTGAATATCTTTCTCCTTTACTGTATCCGGCAGGGGTTACATGGTCATGGCGGACTCTTTCAACACATCTTTATTCAAGCAAACTTTCCAGAGAGTTTTCACCAAGGACGTGCAGGGCTGCTTTAAAATGGCATTAGCAGGGACTCTGGAGATTAAGGTGGCTTGCTTTTCTTTTCACCAAATGTTTTAAAGGATAAGTTGACTGGATAAATTAGCTTATTATTATGGGTTTTTCCCTGTTATTTCAGACTTCTAGAGAGATCAAAATTTCTGGTGCAATCGGCCCATGCGTCTCTCTGAACGCTAAAGGACCCTGCGTGTCAGAAAATGTAAGTAAATCATCTGTTTTAAATCAGATAGGCTGTCAGAGTGGCTTTGTTGTCTTCAAAGAGAATATACTGACTTCTGCTTGTAGGAAATGGGAACTGGTGGCACAAGCCAGTGGAAAATTTGTGGACTGGACCCAAATACCACCCTCGGATTCTACTTTGAGGTCGTGAATCAGGTAGATATAAGTAAAAAGGCTTGCATTGCTTTTATTTAAGAGAGAATATAATATTTGACTCACAGACACCAGTATGCAAAAAACATTTAAAAAAAAATCATCTTAAATGCAGGTGGTCCACTAGGTGGCAAACTTTCTTCATACATTCTTTTACTGCATTTCAGTTGAAAGCATTACTTCACTGCAGTGGCTTTATCCTTTCATCGCGTTTAGTGATTTACAAATGCTAAAATTGTTTTAAGAGTATGATTTGGGGTTGGTCTCCTCTTTATCCACTTGTTAAGTCATGAAATACTGTTTCCAGGTCCAGGCCGCTACTCATTTGAATTGAGAAAATATTCCTTTATGACCACTTTTCAGTCATATCACACATTAAAGTGAATTTTATACAAAATCATGGTTTACACTAGAGTCTCTGAACATGCTGCATAACAGACACCAATAACTTAACAATATATAAAAATATCAGATTATTAAAATATTAATAGGGCGTCTGAAGGGTCTTAAAAGGTCCTAAAATGAAAAAAACTAAATTTAAAAAAAGTCTTAAATTCACTGAAATATTGTGTTGTAGGTCTTGTAGGTCTAAAATCATTTTAAACAGGTTTTAATTTCCCTATGTCTAAGTAAAGCTACTCAATCCCCTATAACTCATCTTAAAACTTCAGTTTTTTATATTTAAGTTTTTATTGCATAGAGAGACGATTCACAACAGCTGTTAGACATTTTTACAGCAAAATAAAATCCCTAATCAAGGAAAGAAATCCCTTTACATGATTTTCTATTAATACAAATACTATTTTCAGAATTAACCAGGCCATTAGAAAAACTCCTTGATGTTTAGCCCTGTATAAGTCTAAAATTTCATTCTTAAAGTGTCTTAAAAAGTCTTAAATTTGACTTGAAGAAACTTGCAGAAACCCTGATTAATAATCTGTTCTGACAATCGGATATTAGGCATGGATTTACATATTGTGATCGTGATTTTTCGAAAGTATTACAGTGCTTTGTAAATGTTTTATGCTACTATTTGTTGAGCCTCACTGTATAGTTTGAGTGTATAGAGCGCTTGGACCCGGTAACCGCTTTGTGTGACGTCAAATGTAAGTAGCGATAATGCATTGTGAGAATGCATGGTCTTAATTGCCATCATACATTTAGCAGGATTCATTTTTCTAGGATGGTGTAGGCTTTTAAGTTTAAAAAGCTACATACAGTAGTCAGTGGAATGCATCCCTTCTGATTGTGACATTCAAACAATGCAAAATCATGCCAATTATTCAAAGTTGCAGTTAAAGTAAGAAGTTAAAGGGACAGTTCACCCAAAATGCAATAACACTACCTTCTCTGTGATGTCATAAACACCATCATTGCTTTCCGGTTTCTTTGATCTGATTGACCATGCTATTTTTTTTCCGTAACCTGGTAACAACCAGTACAGCGAAGAAACGGCAACATGGCGGCAACATCAAATTATAAGGCTAACAAAAAATGTTTCTAACGTCTTGGAAGTAGACATTTACGTTTGAACAGCACGACAAAATAAAAATGAAGTGATGTTTTGCACAGTTTGCTGCCAGTTTGACAAATCAGCCACCTTTTGTTAACATTTTCCGTACTGCTCTTTTTGTTTGCATAACACTTTTATTTACAATTTTTTTAAAAGTATTTAAATTCTAGATTCACAGACTTTATTTTTGACACATTTTTTTAAAATATGTGGGTAAAAAATAGCTATTAACTTCCCTTTTTTTTGGTGGGGCCAGTGAAAATTTTGGCAGGGCAAGTAAAAATCTGAACCACTGGCCCGATCGGACCAGAAGAAAAAATCCATAGCGTTGAACCCTGTATGTAAACACACAAAAACAACATTAACATTATAGCAGATACTGTAAAAAGCTCATTCCCAGCCACTAGACATTACTGACAGGGTATTCCAGTGTCATCGAGTGGCAGAATATTGTTTACATATTGGACTGCTAAACCCTCTTAAGGCCCAAGCTGTTTTTTACATGCATTTTTTTATTTCTCTTCACTATTTGGGCTTATTGGAACCTAATTAGAATAAAACCCTAAGTATCATCTTTTGATATGATGTACTTTTAGAGAAAAATGATGTCCATATATGTGGACTCGTGGTTGGAATTTACACAAAACACCTTTTCCTGACTGTTTTTTAATGCATTATTTTTTTTTTTACATGTTTTGTCTATTAGAGAGTAAAAACATAATTTTTCCTCATTTTGGACTGTTAAAAATAGGGTTTGTGATATTTTATATGCTGCAAAAGTTGCAGGATGACGCTGTATGTCTCTAACAAAATATAAAACATTTAAAGTATTTTAAATAGCCACTTAAGAGCTCAAATGTGCTGTCCATGTATGTGGCCATTGAGCCCTAGGAGGATACAGGAGTTATTATTATGGATTATTGAAACGCACTATTAAACCACTTCACATAAATGGTTAACTATCTGCGGCAAACAAAACATAATTTCATTTTTAACAACAATTGTATTTATTATGACCGTGTTATAAACAGTTTCTCCTCAATGGGTTAAAGTAAAAGACTGTTGAAAAAAAAAAAGAAATCCACCATTTCTCTTACTTTTATGCTATTCAGGAGCCATGTGCACACACTGACAGGGTAAACTCTGCTATAGCATTTATAGCATTTATAATATTTTAACATCATCAAATGAATAAAATAATCAGCAAATAAGAAAAAAAGTTTTAAAGTTGTAGATTATTTAAATATGGCAAATGTGTTGATTAGCCATTACTAATGGTGTACATATATTCTGCAGCTAGTTAAGACCTGTCACTTCGTCTTCTCTGAGTATATAGTAAAGTTTTTCTGAATCGTTTAGATTAAAGGATCCATTGTTTCATTTTTCTTTTGGGCTCGCGGCTCTGCGCTCTGTCAGCTCTGAAGGAAGCAGAAAGTAGTCTTTAATAAAAGAGTAAGGCAAAAATGCATACGAGCTTTAGTAAGCAAAAGTTGGACATGCAGTGACATTTAGGAGATTAGAAACCTGGGCCGGATGAATTATTAAGTCTCAAAAAGGCGCATCTCTGTAATGCACGTGAGACTATCTGTGGGAGTGCTGACAGGTACGATGCAGAACGAGACGGGTAAACTAGAGAATATTTTCCCCTGCTTAATCGAGGGCTATTCAATTAGTTTGTCAGGGGGGCCAGTTCATGAAAAGCATCCCAAATCAAGGGGGCAGAGAGATATAACTTGCACTATAAGTGATGACAAAACAGCAACTAAGAGCCCATATGGGGAATTTTTGCTCCTTAAGACACTCACGTTGTATTTTTCTACATTAAAATGTAAATATATTGTGTTTTGAAACTGCATAACATCACTGCGTTGCACAATAGGCTTTGTTATAAACATTCAAATGTTGTGTTACAAAGCACAACAAAAGCAGTGCATTGCTTAAGTAGGCTTCTTCTACATTCAGACTCATTCATATCTCATGTTTTGAACTGCGTAACAATTAGGGATGTAACAATTATAGATTTTGGTTGTACGATTATATAGTCTATATGGTTATCACGTCCAATGTAAATTTAAGCTTTATATTAGGTAAATAAAATGAACTGCTGTTATCATCTGTGTTTATACATGCATAATCGTCTTAGTAATTTGTTATAACTTGTCTAACGTATCTTTTGTTTACATTGCACTGAAAGCCACGCACAACTCTCACCGCCACAGTGTGAGATGTTTTCTACCTGGTGCGCCTGTATATTGGCATGTATTCTGACATTGGAAATAACTAACTTGTGCGCAAACTTAATGAGATATGAATGATCCACTGCTATAGTTAATCCAGTGTGCGTGCATATTAGCCTTGGTTTATGAGCTCGGAACTTTAAACCAGCGCACAGGTGGCATAACTTTGTTTAGTTGCAACAGTTTTGTTCCGTGCAACAGAAACGCGGCATTGAGAAGCTCTTATGATTAAGTGTCCAAATGTTTTCGGCTGCTCGCACTACTCGCTTAATATCAGGTCACTCGCACTCTGCGCAGCCTTCAACTGCAGCTCGTGCTGTATTGAACAGAAGCATGTCACTTCATAACTATAGCGGTCGTTTTTCAACTGAACTAAATTTATTTTTGATGTATTGTCACAGTATTTGGAGTGCTCGAACAAATTGCCTCAGGGGCCAAATTTGGCCTGCGGGCCGCTGATTGATTAGCCCTGACTTAATTGGTTGGGGATGTTTAGTTATATTGGGCGTATACAAAAATGGTGTAAAACCATGTTAATAAAAGTAAAAAAATAAATAAATGTGTCACTAAATATACTTGGGTGGCTGTTAATATAACTTGGCGGCCCGCCCAAGTAAAATCTATGTATGGGAAGCACTGTTTAGTGTTACCTTTGCTTGAGAAGACCAGGGGCCTCATGTACGAAGACTTGCGTTGAAATCATACTAAAACATTGAGTACGCACAAAGCTGTAATTGTGCGTACGCAGTAAAAAAATTCAGATGTATAAAAACACTGCGTACGCTGAATCCCACGCATATTCTCTTTGTACATCCGAATAAACGTGAAACTGAGCGCACGTACACGAACGCAAAACCCCTCCCTACCTCATCCCCCTTATGAATATGCTAATGACTGTACTTTGGCAAAACTCAACGAAAAAGCAATGGCAAAAGCAAGCAAACAACTAAACTTTGAACAGAATGTGAATTGGATGTGGACCGGAAAAAAACGGTTTTATAAGTTTGTTCTACGGAATTTAAAAATAAAATTAAAAAAATAGAGCGGGAGAGTTTAGCTGATGCGGTTAACACAGTGGGGTCTGAACATCGCACTGAGTGGATTAAAAAAAGTAACTGTGTAAAATTTTGTAGTGTCTTTATCAGCGTGAGTGGCGTAGCTCGTAAAATGCATGACAACATGTTTTGACACGTTCGAGCAGCATGAACTCGGTTCGAATCCAGTGTCTGATAAACTTATTCTTTTTTTCCCCCGCTACATATCAGATTTTGCCTATACTCTTCATCATGAGGAAGACAAGTAGGAATCATTATTAAATCTGTGCATCACATATTATTTACACATTTATTGAATGGAAATGTTTTGATTCACGTATGCAAATTCATCTTCCCATGGTGCCTTAATAGCAATGTGTGTGCAGTAGATTGCTCCGATTACATTAGGAAAAACGGTGACCGCTGCAAATTGCGCTTTAATGTTTGGCTGGTCAACTGCATGGTATGGAAACCTTATATACCTGCTAGACACGCGGATGAACCTACAGCTGCCATTGCACGGCTCAAAGACACTTTGTAGAGTGCATTTTAACACAACTGCCTCTAGGAGTCGCCAATGGAAATAAAACAGACACACATAAGAAATGTACGTACGCCAGACATGAAGTTGGCATGGACCTGCCCATGTTAGTAAATCCAAACTTGAGCGTGAAACCTGGCGTACGCAAAGTTTTTGTGCGTACGCAGCGTTGATATATGAGGCCCCAGATCTAATCCTCTTTAAAGAAATAAGCCTGCTCCCTGCTAACTTTCGGATGAGTTTTGAAGAACGAAATGATCCTGGATCATGTCAGATCGCCAATAACCAAATCCAGCTAATTAAGTAATCCACGTACGAAGAACATACCCCTGGAAGTAAGTTCTTCCACAGCAGGACCATGCCCCAAATCCTAATCGTGGAGGAGACTCAATCACCGAATCATCAGCATATTTACTAAATTTGTATTACATTATATCAAAACCACATGAGGGGGAGTAAATGATCAGGTAATTTTGAATTGTGGGTGAACTATCCCTTTAATGCATTTAAAAAAAAATCTGCTTAACATTGTATTTCACAATCAAAAAAAACATTTCATCTAGAAAAAGAACGAATCACCATTTCTGTTCAAGTGCAGTGCATCATCTGATACAATAGTCTTTTTTTTTCCATTTTCAATTTACTACAGAAAATCGCACAGGCTTTCTTCTGTCTGCAAGTCGTTTTCACATCATAAGTGCTGAAATCGCCTCAGGTTACCTCCGCCAACCCAGTGTCCTCTTGCGTTGGGGTGAAACCATGCCGTAGAAGCTTCCTTAAGTCATGATTATCTCTGCGCTATTCAAACCAGTAAAGGTCAGTGAGGGTCGCGTTCAGACCAGCGTGAGGTCCTGTTGGGGTTGGTTGTTTGTTTGTTGTGCCGGAGGAACACTGGGGGCCGGTGAAGAGGAGCTGTTGCTCTCGCTGCGTGGCTGTATAGTTGTGCACTGAGAGAGGGAGCCTTTACGAGGATACTCAAACATCTGCTGGATTTTATTCAGGCTTTTGCGCAGCGCCGCTCTGTACCTCCTGAGAGATACAAACAAGGTCATGGTAAACCTCCCACATACTCGCAAGCTCTTAGAATCTAAATAACAACCACATATCAATACGGTGATTCATAGCCCGCTACATGTTCTCTTTCTAGACGAGGCCCAAATTGGCCGTTGAGTATCAACACCTTCCTTTTTTCAATCCTGCTCCACATTTCAGCTCCTGCCACTTTTTATTTAGCAAACCGTATTGAATGTGGCAGGTATTAATATGGGCTGCCACATTTAATGGTTAAACGGCAAGGAAAGACTTAATCAACAATACAAAGGTAGTGTCCATCCATGATTACACTTCCCAGAAATAGAGAGCTCATTATCTGGGAGAATGTGTCTTATAGATTTTCCTGTCTGTCTTCTATCTGTGGTTGTTTACTCTTGGAATTCAAGAATGGATTGGTTTATATATTAATTAGGGTTGTTCATTTAATGCATTAATTACATTTATTAATTACCCCTCAAATATTTAAAGCACATTGCCCACCTATTTTGTCCTGCAATGCCAGGGGTTCTCATCTAAACCTGTTGGCCACAAAATAAATTGAAATAATATTCTATAATTGTTTAAATTCATTAATAATGACTGGGCCCACGCGGAATCTGTACAAGCAGAATTCCACAGATGTTTAGCCCATCATTCATTCTGTTTATTTACCTGTGTTAATTTATATTTAGTCAGTTTTTAAATTAATTTCAATAATATTATTGACAAATATGAAAGTATTCATATGATGCATTTACAATACAGTTTGTAAAGTAATATTTTCTGTTTTTTAGTAGAGATATTATATGGGAGACTTGTTTTGTTAACCAAATAAAGTGGATGTAATTAAATTTGCATTGTGATCATTAAATGGTTAAAAAGGTTTTGTTTTTTAATTTCACATATTACGTTTTTAGTTATGATACTCCCAATATCATTCCACATAAATCCACTGATTTTCAACAATATTCTGCACAGAAATAGCAGAAAATGTCCTCAGATTCTGTCTGGCCCTAATAATGAGTACAATTAGAATAAGGGCTGCACGATGTTGGAAAAATCTAACGCTGCAATATCTTTTTTTTCTCCGATATAAACTGCGATATGAATACAATTTCACCAGATGACTTAATATCTCTATTTGGAAAGAATTTATAATAACGTTAGATCAATTGAGATGATTCTGTAGTGGAAATGCATCTTTATAAAATCTAACAAACTGTCTATAAACCTTTTGGGGTCCCCAGACAGTTTTTCATTGTGGTCTGTGCCATTTGCAGTGCATGTCTGTATCCATAATTTCTGTATTCTGCTGTGAGTATTTTCATGTATAACAATCTATGAATCCAATCAATAATTAATCGTGGTTAAGGTCACAAATGTTACAATTTCTTAAGCTGTATGCATTTAAAAGCAGTATACAGGCATCAAAAACGCATGCAAATGATAAATTGTGATACAAACTCAACATTTATCATCCTGCGATTCGACTATTGTGAATGATCATTTTGCGATATCGATGCTGAAACGATATATTGTGCAGCCCTAATTAAAATATTTATAGCACTATTGCTTCGTATTCATTACAAATGTCTCATTGCACTGTTCAATACAGACTAAACAGTAGTTCAAAACTCCTAACCCCTGCATGCCAAATAGCTTTCCATCCTTCAGTTGCATAAATCAACCCATTATGCAAATGTAAAGTTAAAAATGGTGCTAATAATAAATAATGTCCATATCGTGAGTTCCAAAGTTTGGAATCGATTTTATAAACTGAATCGACTCATTTTTAATTCAAAATAATTGATTGGTTAATAATGATCAAAAGTTACTTGCTTATAAAGATCAGATATATTTCCATGAAGGTGAACTGATATGCATAGTTTTTAGAATTGGTTCAAATCAAATCAGATCAGTTCACTTATACTATAAATTTAGACAGCTTGTTATGAGATGTTATGCTGCAAAATCCAAATAATAGAGTATATAAACATGCATTGCTTATAATTAACTTTCATTTATTACATTTAATAGTAAAAGTGTTTGTTTTAGCCTAATTTTATAGCTAATACACGCATATAGACCTTGATACAAAAATAGTTTCATTTCTTTGTGCCTATGTGGCATGCTTTTACATCACATGTGAATTATAGTCCACAACAGATGGTCTTGAGATCCAGTCTGATGCATAAATATAGCAGATTCATGTTTTTTTTGTATTAAATCAAATTATACTATATTTTTCTTTTAAATAATGCTGAAAGTCTGCCGTTGTTATTAAAAAAGCCTCCACACATTTCTGATTAACAGATAAACTGTACACTCTTATTTCTGTGTTATAATGCTATGGTTATTTCGGTGCACTGTTTACTGTTTCTATTTGACAGCTGTACACATGCATTTTAGACACGGTGTGTCAGTGCAGTATGCATGCAGTCAAATAAAAATAAAAGTTATGTGCTTTCAGTTACTTACTGCTGGGGTTTGAATATAAAGAATCGAAAAAGAATCGCAACAATAGTGTGCAATCGATTCTCTGAATCAAATCCGTCAATTCCAGAATTAGGAATCAAAATTTGTATTCAAAGAGCTCAAAGTCCTACATTAGCCAGGCATAAGTCCATATTTTATTCACAAAAAGCATGAATTGTATACAAAAAATCAAATACAAAAAACATGAATCGTTATTTTTATGCTTCAGACTGGAGCTCAAGACCATCTATTGTGGACTATAATTCACATATAATGTAAAGGCATGCCACATAAGCACAAAAAAATGAAACTATTTATGTATCAATGTCTATATGTGTGAATTAGCTATAAAATTTGGCTAAAACTTAAAACACTTTTACTATTAAATGTAATAAATGAAAGTTAATTATAAGCAATGCATGTTTATATACTCTATTATTTGGATTTTGCAGCATAACATCTCATAACAAGCTGTCTAAAATGCTTTGTGTATTTTTGATGAACATTTCATCATGTATGCATAATTGTTGAACTCCTCGCCCATACAGGAGGATCTTGTGTAAATAAAAATACTTACAATAGAGCAGAATCTTTACCTCTAGTAGACTACTGGTTACATTAAATATACTGTCATAGTCAGTACTATACTGTTTAAAAGATCTGAGTTTTCTGTATTTTTTTCAACTTATTTATGCTTTAAAATCGCATTACGGGACCTGAATATTGAAAAGTTTGAAAAATGTACTTTTATTAACGTTTTTAGTAGTTTGAAGTGATATCGTCTGGGTTGATGTTGTAAATTATTTTTGTATGATACAAAAACCTGGTAATAAGCTGCCAGTACATTTTCTGTTAGACTTCCAGATCTCTATATATTATTACTTATACATTATATTATCTCATAGTACTAAAATGTCAATATAAGGCACTGTAAAACTACAGAGCTTAGTTTTCAACATCAAAAGTGGAGAGAGCAGAGATGAAACTCTCATAATGCAGTTCACAACCGTAAATAAACAGAAATCACTTGTGAATCACAAAATACAGAACCTGTTAATCAAGATATTTTTACAGTGTATAGAGTTGAAGTCAGAATTATTAGCCCCCCTTTAAATTGTTTTTCTTTCTTTAATATTTCCCAAATTATTCTTAACAAAGCAGGGAAATGTTTACAGTATGTCTGATAATATTTTTTTATTCTGGAGAAAGTCTTTAATTGTTTATTTCAGCTAGAATAAAAGCAGTTTTTAATTTTTAAACATCATTTTAAGGATAAAATTATTAGCCCCTTTAAGCTATTTTTTCTTTCGATAGCCTACATAACAAACCATCGTTATCTAATAACTTGCTTAAATACCCTAACCTGGGGTGCGTTTCTCAAAACCATCGTTAGCCAACCAAGGTCGCAAGTTCCGTTGTTAGAAGCATAGTTTGATGATTTGCCATTTCCCAAATCAGTCGCTCCAAAGAACATTCGCAAACTGTGTCGCAAATTTGAGCACTCGCAACTACATCTCTGGAGCTGTTGTTAGATGCATAGTTCCTGGCTGTGTTCTATTCCCAGTTACCCCCCCCCCCCCCCCCCCCCCATGCCCTATTCATTTAGAACATTCTAACATTCAAAGTTGGAATTATTAAAAATAAAAAAAAGCTTTCAAACTGTTTTTACAGTTCAGTTTTAGCGATCTTCATGTTTACAGTCGTGCTCCCTTTGCAGTGCACTTTGAAAACATTGATGGAATTTTGAACACAGCCTCAAGCAAAAGCCTTTAGGTGACCTATTATTTAAAAGCAGAATTAATGTTACGTCATCAAAGCTTGTGAAAACAAAAAAGCATACGTTAATTATTTTAATTTATAGTAGGTTAATTATTAAGTATCTGTACTGTATAAGGCATGGGCCTGCTGGTTAGAACTTTCTGCTGTGGTTTACAAGTGTCAAATTGTAAGTAGACTTTTCTAAAAAATAAATAAACAAAACTCTACTTAATAAATAAATAAAAATATTAATAATAATAATAATAATTATTATTATCAAATTATGATTTTTTCATTTCTAATACATAATGAAAAAATCATCATCATCATCATCATCATCCTCATGATCATCATTAGTATTATTAATATTATTATTAAATTAGGATTATTTTCATTTCCTAATACATAATAAATATTACATTTCATTTTAAAATAAATAGCCTCATTATTTATTTATTCATAGGATTTATATATGATGTTAGATTAGGTAGCTTTTGTTAGTGATTTGTTTTGGAATAGGATATCATATTTTCAATAATATTTGTAAAGGAAATTATATGTGGCATTTAAATATAATTTGGTTAATATGGAAAGTGAGTGCATGTTTTTACCTAAACTAATATTGGATTTTTTTTTAAATGCGTGTGCGTGTAAAACAATATAATTTGCGCAAAGAAATGATGGGGTTCTTCTCTAAAGAAGTAGTTACTTCACCGTGTTTAGAGCGTCATTATGGGTGTTTCACGTTACAACTAACATGGTTCAAGCGATGGATCTGCAACAGAGAAACTATGCCTTTTGGGAAACACTCGTCACTACATCGTTCTTTTCCTAAACGATGCATCATACTATGATAGTTCAGCCGTGACTTACATTGTTGTTTGGGAAACACACCCCAGCCAAGTTAACCTAATTAACCTAGTTAAGCCTTTAAATGTCACTTTAGGCTGTATCGAAGTGGCTTGAACAATATGTACTGTCATCATGACAAAAATAAAATAAATCCATTATTAGAAATGAGTTATTAAAACTGTCATGTTTAGAAATGTGTTTAAAAAAAATTCTCTCCGTTAAACAGAAATTGGGGAAAAATAAACAGGCAGGCTAACAATTCAGAGGAGCTAATTATTCTGACTTCATTTTTACACTACATGCTTTCTAAGGATCAAAATGGTGTACTTCGTTGCTTACGTTTGAGTCATGGAGTTGATCCATGGGTTGAGAGCTGAAGTGAAGAGTACGAGCCATGTGGCAACAGCCGAGGCAGGCTGCGGGCTCTCTTTTCCCGTCAGTGTCTCATAGAAACAGATAACGATATATGGCAGCCAGCAAACGAGCAGGCACACTGTCAACAACACACACAAATCACATGATGTGGTTAAAGATTTTTTTGGACAAGCTTATTTCATTAGCTCAAGAGCAATATTGACCTCCACTGTGTGATATATTTAGCTAATTACTTTCTCCATAACCTCAACCGTTGTTGTGTTTTTTTTTCTGTCATTTAATACATCATACATTTTAAATAATTAAATTGTCAATCAATTCAAATAGATTTGACATTTATATAATTAATGATTAAATTAATTTATGGTTCCACATTATTTAATATTATTATTATATTATATAAAGATCTGTCCAAGACTTCTGTCTGTAATATTATTTATACACTGTAAAACCAAATAAATTAGGGTAACTCAAAGCATTTGAGGAAACCGATTGCAACAAATCATTTATATCCAAAAACTAACCCTTATGAGTTCTGTGAAATTAACCCATTTGAGTAAATGAAGCAATTTTGAGCACAGTAAAACCCAATAAATGAAGAGAACTCAAACTAGCTGAGTACTGTAAAACCCAATAAGTTAAGGCAACTCAAACTGTTTGAGGAAACCGATTGCTATAAACCATTTGAGTCAAACTAATCTATATGAGTACTGTAAACTGATTACATATAAGTTGAAGTAATGAGCAGGGCCAGACGTAATCTGCGGATGTTTTTTGCTATTTCTGCAGAGAATTTTGGTAAAAATCTGCAGATTTCTGCAGAAATATTTTGAGAGTTTCCAGCAGAGTATCATAACTAAAGCCTTAATATATAAAATAAAAAGAAATAAATTACTGAATAAAAACTGAATAATTTCAGATTTACACATTTAATCAAGTAAATAAACAAAATTAATAATGGGCTAAAAATCTGCGTAATTCTGTGGAAAATCTGTAGAATTCTGTGTGCGCAGATTCCGTGTGGGCCTAGTAATGAGGTATTTAATGAACTCATTACCTTCAACACTGAGTTCAAAACTCTTTTCAAATGAGTTGAATTAACCTTCAGTCAATTTTGAGTTAACTACACTCATTTCAATCGATAAAGTTGACTGTTGGGTTTTAAGGCTGATTTATACTTCTGCGTCAAATGACGGCGTATGCTACGGCGCTGACGCATAGCCCTTCTCCGTGGCCGTCGGCGTCGCTGACGTGCACCTCTCAAAAAATGCAACTACACGTCGCAACGACGCGTAGGGCAAGCTCTGTGATTGGTCGGCTTGGTAGCGCTGACGAGTCTGGGCGGGACCGAGAGCCGCGTGAATGGTGCGATCCTGATGGAGGGATTGTTTACAAGTGTGGAGTCCTGTAAAGGAGCTCCGCACGGAAAGTTTTGTTTTGTGTTTACCTCATAGTTAAGGTTGTTGCATGTCTGCCGGTTCCTGCCTCAAAATGAGCGAGTTTGAGCCACTTGTACATCCCGGAAGTGTTCAGGAAAAGCAAAAAGCAGCGAAGAAACTCGACACAGAGGAGCATTAACACCTCACTGCCAACTAGCGTTTCAAAAGTGTTAATGCAGACCAACAGAGAAAGCGCGCAGAAGTATAAATGCACAGCCACGCGCGTTGCATGCGCCGTGGGTTACGCCGGTCACTTGGCGCAGAAGTATAAACCAGGCTTTACAGTGTATGCTCCAGCTAAAATCTTCTTTTCATGTTTATTATTCTCATAACATAGAACATGTCAAAACTTTGAAATTACAAATCTATACAAGTATGTTACTATAATAAAAAAGTATCTTGTATTCACGAGTTGAAATGTTGGTTCTTTATAAACAGCGCCCAAGTAATTTAATGGACACTTGTTTGCTGCATTTCATTCCTCTCCGGTCCAACTCTTCCATTAAAGAAATTGTTTTGTTTTGAAAAGAAATTCATACATGGGCAATTTATGTTTCTTTCAGCAAATCTAATTTGCAGTATTAAAGCGCAGGTCTTTATATTGATTTTTAAGGTCATGAAGCGTAATAGGGTTACTAGCAGTTATCAATACCAATACAGTTTCAAGAAAGTCCATTCAATGCTGCTGTTGCTTCTGTTAGGCAGCAAATAGGTTCAATTAATTAAGCTTTATTCTCTTTTCTGAGAGAAAGCTCTAGTAATTACACATTTTGTACAAGTTCCTCTAGTTTCAGACGATACCTCAATGTCTCAATTGTCATATTTCTTAATGTTTACTAAATGTAAACATTTTTCTTCAAACAGGATGAATTATTAAGACTCTAAAGTTAAACTACAGTTCTAAAATCGGATGTTCAGCAAAGAGCTTTAACATGTTACAAAATAGGGCTGCACAATATATCAATTCAGCATTGATATCACAATCTGTGCATCTGCATAGGCACCTTTGCAAAGATATGTCCAGTCTGAATTCTAGTTGAGCAGGAGCCACAGAATTGTATTTAATCACTGTATGCACTGTATATGTAATTTCAATGATTTATGTAGAAAACGCTTTCTTACTTTTGTTTCTAGTCCAAATATCTACATTTCAAAGTAAAAACAAGATTAGTTCACTTATTTCACTGGCTGATCATTTCCTTAAAACAAGCAAAATCTCTTAATTTTCACTTATTTTTTCTGATGGTGAAAACTAAATAATATTTTTATTCTGGTTAGATTTTTTTATATGTATATTTGGACCAGAAACAAGAAGAAACAAAGTAAGAAAAGCATTTTTTTTTTTGCATTATGATAATTACATTTCTGTACCTGAATACTGTTCACGAGTAGGAGTCCACAGAAAAATTTCAAATAAAGCCATTCTCTATATCTTCTGAAACTGTATTTATATCGCAGTATTTATCACAGAAAAATAAAATATCTCAATATCAGATTTTTCCAATATTGTGCAGCCCTATTTGAAAAAAAAATAAAATAAAAAAATAATAATAATAATAAATAAATATATATATATATATATATATATATATATATATATATATATATATATATATATATATATATATATATATATATATATATATATATACACACACACATACAGTATATATTATATTATTATATTATATAATAAAAAATAATAACTTTTTCTTCATCACTATCACAAAACATGTCACAGCTCCCACAAAACTATACAATAATATAGATGATGACAAAATAAATTAAATTTATATCTGTTGAATCATGTGGCACAGAGATCACAGGAATAAATTACATTTTAAAAACACTCTGGGTATTTTAAATTGTAATAATATATCACAATATTACTGTTTTACCCTACATTTAATTAAACAATTGCAGCATTGTCAAGCATAAGAAGTCTTTCAAAATTAAAAATGTTAAATGGCTGGGTATACTGAAGCTGAAATAGTTCTATGTTTATATTAAGCAGGAAGCAAATCTCCAAGATGTCATGGTAAAATAAACCACCAAGATAAGCACTTAATGAACATCCAAAACACTGAGGCAGATCAAACACCATAAAACAGCTTTATGTCCCCTTTGTTAATTATGCTTACCTGTGGTTGTCACCATTACTATGGAGCTTTTGAAGTAATTATTGGCCGGTACATAGAAACAATGGTCTTCATTGCAAACAAACGTCCCTCGTCGTACCTGATTCCTGGCTATATACACTATATATCCATACATGGAGCACATCAATACTATGGGAATGATTATTCCCAACACCATGAAGAGCATGTTGAAGGCGATGCTTGAAGGTTTAAAGCTGGGAACGCAAAGAAACTTGGTTTCGCTGTAGGCATAACTACCAAAACCAAAGAGAGGCAGGGATGCGTTGACGATGCTGTAAACCCACACCATCACAAGGATGATTTTGGCCCTGTACGCTGTGAAAATCACAGGGTAACTGAGGGCGAAGCAGATCTCTGTGAACTTGTCAACAGTAGCCCATGTGAGCGAATGAATCGAGGCGAGCTGAAGTGCCAAAAACAGAAATGCGCTGCCTTGGCAGGTGGCGCTCTTGCTAGGGTAGCTCTTCACTTTGAAAAGACTGTTATGGATACCGAATGGGATGGTGGAAACACCCAAAGCCAGATCGCATACGCAGAAGCTCAACGTGAGAACCCAGGTGTCCGTTTGAAGGGTTTGGTTGAGTAAAATCACCAACAGCAATAGCAAGTTGCCAAATACAGAGCAGATACTGGAACCAATCATCAACACCGCATAAACCACCGCCGTCCACTGCATGTTTACATTGGCATTGGCATTTACGGACACAAACGCTCAATCGACGACAGACAATCACACTGGAAGCTGTGAAAAGAGGAGGTCACATTATGTTTGCCAAACCACCAGGGAAGGTGTTGCTGTATGGGAGGAGTGAACCTCATGCTGATCCTTATGAGTCGAGGATCTACAGCCCTTCACAAAGCACTGATGTCTTCAGGGAGTGTTAGTCAAGCCCCTCTCCACCTTTACTATCAGCACTTGCCTCAGTCGGTTTGCAAATGGCAAACATTCTGTCTTGAGAGGCAAAGAAACAGCTACAATCACACGTAGCGAGGTAAATAAAGCATCTAACATTTTAAAGAGTGTGTTTCTGTGGACACAAAGGCACATTGGGGAGGCTAGTATTGTGCTGCTTGCCAAACACCACACTTGAGATTCAATATCCTCTCTGTCGCCAATTTTTATGAGCCATTTCGTACTCTAGTGCCTTTTTTGATATATAATTGGCAAGAAAAATGACTAATGCAGTCTAAGCCATAATCATTAATTAAGGCTTCAGTGCTTTTACTCGGAGCTTAAGCCTTTCTTCCAGTTATATCAGTTATATCCTGTTACAGGAGTCTTTTCATACAGGTATTAAAGCATTTGTGGATTATAGTTTTTTTTTCTTCTGGTTTTGCATTAGGTAGTTTTGCTGTACCTCATCTCATCGTTCAGTAATAAAAACATATTAATTAGATCATGATTGTAGTCAGTTTATAGACGAGTTGTGATTAATTTAATTCACATGGTAAAGTTTTTAGATCCTTTCTGGAATTAATTTCTTTACCAATTTAATATGTAGAGACATTTTTAAATGTTTTTTTTTTATAATTTGAAATATATATTTTGAATTTGTAATTTATTGCTATAAAAGAAAAAGTTGCATATTAAATTTTTTTTGTAAAAATCCTGTTCTTAACTATGGCCTTCGGTCACAGGATATTTACTGTCTGTTCCTAAAGTGCAGACTGAGGAAAAAGGCAAGAAAAAAAGGCTTTTAAATACGCAGCACCTTTTGCATGGAATAAACTACAAAGTAGCAGTTTAAAGAATTGATTTCACTAAATGCCTTTAAAAAGAGTATCAATGATTTAGAAATTGAAACACAGGCTTGTAGATGTTTTGAATAGTTTGTTTGTCAATGTGATTCATTAACTGTCAATTGTTTTTTGTTTGTTGACCCATCTGACATGTATACTACATAATCTTGGCCAGGACGCTCTTGTAAGAGAGATTTTTAATCTCAATGTTTCTTTTCTGGTAAAATAAAAATAATAATAATATTTATCAGCTATTATCCCAGCTACAGTGTAGCATAATCCTTCAAAAATTACAGTAGTATGTTTTTTTTTCCAATAATAAAGTATGCGTTAATGCATCTTGTAAGAATTTGTTACAATGTACAACTAATATTAGGTTGATAGAAACATAGCAGTTTAGAAATACTTAAGAAATGTTTTGAAAAGTCCTTTAATTTTGTATTGATCCACTAGATCAGTGGTTCTCAAACTTTTTTCACCAAGTACCACCTTAGAAAAAAATCGCCTCTCCAAGTACCACCTTATGACGCTATTTTTTAACCAGTATTAAAAAATAGCGTCGTAAGCCTAATTAAGCAGCTACAGGTGTGCACAGTTTAAAAACGATGCAGATTACTTCCTATTAGTAAGAATATGTATGATTGTCAGTCACTTTAAACATTTGAAATAGTCTGAACATTAACTGTGCTTGCAGATAAAAAAAAAAAGTTTTGGTTAAAATGTGCTTTTAAAAGTTCATAAAAAAATGGCGCTGTTCTTAAAAAGTAAAAAGAAAACTGCTGTACTTAAATCTAAAGTATTCATAGTAGCCTATTCATCAAAAGCTGGAAATGCTGCTTGGACCTTATAATAGGCTATATGTCATACTCCTACACTTTCAGACAAATCTTGAAATAAATGTTAAATGTACATATGACAGGGTTCATACAGGCACAGCCTAATGAAAGTCAATTCCAGCACCTATTTTTTTTTTCAAGACTGACATGCTATGTATTGAAGACCTGAAATGTATTCTCAGCAACCCATAAAACATTGCATAGGAATAGATACAAATAAAAACCATTAATAATAATATTTATTAATCATATATTAATAATAAAATAAATCTGCACTAAGTGCTTGTGAAATCTTTTTTGTACTCAAGTAAAAATACACTGCTAAAATAACAAAAATTTAAGTAAATAATACTAATATTAGGTAAAAGTACAAATTACTCTTTTAAAAAGTACTAGTTGATTATTTTTGAAAAAAAATCAGATTTTCATTATGAAATCACTTTTTTTTTTTAAGTGTAAACCTAATTTAATGGTTTGATTGCTTACATCCCAAAGCTACATGTATAATTTGCACTAACAAAGGAAGTATAGTCAATTTTTCCTTTCATGACAATTAATCTTTTTCAATAGCACTGGTAAAACTACCAAATAATCTTTAAGGCCATAGAGACACTTTTTGCCCATTTTTCAAAATATATATATTTAAGCTTTGAAAGGTTAAATTAAAGTATATGGTAAAAAGATTTAAATTTAGCCTTTTATTTACATATTTTACACTATTTTCTTTACAATATGGCAAATTTGTTTCTTAAATAGCTGTAGATCACATGTAGATTTTATTTTACACTTGATCTTAATCTAAAATAGAAACGTAAAAAAATACAAGTACACTGTCAGTAAAAAAATAAAACAAATTACTTCATTTTACTTGAGGTATTTGAAATATGACGACACTACATTTATCAAAGCAGTGCTTTAAGAGCCTTATTGTAAATTGTGATAAATAAACAATAAGTAGGCTAACAATGGATTGCTTTGACCTGTAATGCTTTAAGACAGATCAGAATACAGCTAAATGTATGAATCACACAAATACCTCACCCAGAAACATTTCCAGCATAATTATTTTGTCGTAAAGAAATAAAAAATGTTCCACCTTTGCTAAAAGTAATTCACTTCACAACACAGCCAAATAAGAAGACCATTAGCATTGTCATCGATCATGAATCAATCTAATTCTAAATATTTGATAACTTTGAATACTTTTGACTAAATTTAGTTAAGGAGCAAAGATAAATAATGTCTACTTTAATAGTGGAAAGATCGCGATTGTATTCTATCTGAGCACACACGCGATCATGAGAGGTCTTGCAGTTCATTTCAAAAAAGCCTATTTAAGAGCTCGCATATCTTTTTTAGCGATTTGCGTACATGAATGCGCTCTCGTGTTAAAATAAAGCACTCGCCGCATTTGCAGAAATGAGTAATTGCGCAATACCTTCATTCCCGCGCCGCCATTCATACTGTGTTTAGAGGAGTGACAGGTCAGAGGCGAGTCGACTGGCTGTCGGAGAGCGAAACGTGTATGAAGATCATCAAATAGGCAGGAAATATGTCCGCGGTTTAATTACTCTGCTAGACATCTCTGTAGTGAAAACATCCGAGAAGCATTATGCCAACAAAACATTTGTTTTTAAGTTGTTTTTTTCTGTCTCTGCAACACAGAAAGCATTTGTCCCGCCCTTACGTTTCACGCAACTAGACAAGGTCGACTGTGATTGGCCACTTTTCATGTCAGTCAGATCACGCTTCAGAATCAATTCTTAAACTTCGGAAACTGATTTTCAGCAGCTTATGACACAATGCACTAAAATAAACACTCTAAGCACAGCGTTGTGATCGTACGCTTCACAAAACAGCCAATGCTGATCACATCAATGTTATATTACGCATTAAAGGATTAAAGTGTTAATTGTTTCTTTCATTATTCAGCGATTCCTCCGCGTACCACTAGGAGGAAGCGCGCGTACCACTAGTGGTACGCGTACCACAGTTTGAGAACCACTGCACTAGATCATGTCATTCGCCAGTTTGAAAACTTTATAGTCCTTTTACTACAATTCTGAATGAAAAACTGTATTATATTAGCATGTTTTCAGTAGTGTAGCAAGCAAAACTTGTCATAATGTGCAATATTGAATATAATGTGCAATATTGCATGGGCGCAAGGATCGCTGGTCTCACTCTGACGCGTTTGATGCTTGGCTGGTGGGCTGCAGGAATTGCACTTATTACTAAGCCATCCTTACATGCTATTTCAGTCCGAATATTCAGAGTAGCATGGTAAACAATATAGGGAGCGCGTCACAGGTTGTCATTGTTCAATAATGAACCAATGTAAATATAAAACCAACTTCACCTCAGTAAAGCGGGCAACAGTAAAGTTTTGTTGTTAAACTAACAACTATATTGAATCAGGCTTTTCAAAAGTTTTGATTTAGCATTAATTTAAACTAATACTGCTGTCATTCCCTCGTGTGCATGTGAATGCGTGCGCGAACACCTGATCTGTCTGCGTGAACCAGGGTGCGCAGATGTACAGATCTACATTTGTTGACAGACAGTTTAAGCTACTTATCAGAATTATAGGAATTGTCTTCCCAGCAATATTCAATTTGATGAACATTTTTTAATCTTATGCCTTACTCAGAATATTACAATAATGCATATAAATACATTTAGATCATTTACTTTAATCATTACTATTGGAATGTGAAGAGACTTTTAACCAGCACAAATTTTTTTTCCTAAATGCAATCACCTACTGCACCCCTAATATTCTTTAAACCGAACAATATATTGAACATCTTTTTTTTTTTTCCTCAGCACAATGCTCCTATCCCACAAGGTGGACGTGGAGCAATACAGTATGTAACGCAGTATCAGCATTCTAGCGGACAGAGGCGCATCAGAGTGACCACCATTGCAAGAAAGTAAGTGCTTTTATTTTATTTCAGCAAATATTTGATCATAAATATATTATGAATCTGTGTTAGGGCTGCACGATTCTGGCCAAAATGTGAATCGCGATTTCTTTTGCTCAATCAAGATCATGATTTTGTCACGATTCTGTAGATGTAAAAAGTTTAATTTGGTAAAACAACAATAGTAATATTAAGCCTGTGTATGTAGGTCTACTGTTGGTTAAAATGCTACATTTTGTATAGACTGAATGGACTTAAACATACTTTAAATTTGTCCTGGTTGTTAATTCAAAGTAAAGTGAGGCATCAGAATATTTGTAATTCTAAAGTTGAATTATTGTGTTTGAGACATGTGCTTGTCATTTGTTATTAGACCATTTATTCACTGATAAAATCAGACATTTGTCATTATCAGATTTCCTCCTACATTATATTCATCATCAGATAGGCTAGAGTAGTTATTTACCCCGTAAGATTTGTGTTCGCTATGAAAGAAAAACCATCTCAAATGCTTGTCGTAATCATAACTCTAAAATGCGATGTGATTATTTAAATGATGTGTGTGCTGGTTTCCCTTTCACTGCCGAGTGCGGCTCATGACATGGCTCTCTTCATTTTGAGGAAATCAAACTTCCCCTCGCGGCTCCCAAACAATCACTCTGTGCAACAAACTGAACATTATTTACAACTTTATTACCTGTTATTCAAGGCTTATGCAGGTTCTGGTCAAAGTACATCCTTCACCCAATTATCTTACGTGGGATTTTGCGGCCGCGAATACATCATTACATTAAGACAGAAGTGACATTTTGGGGTAAATTATACCTCATAATAACAGTATGTGACATAATTAATGCCATTTGGAGGTGTCCGTGTTGCTGAGCAACGTATATAAAACAATGTGAAGACTTTATGCTTCCTTTCTGATCTTAAAAATATAATAAGCTGAATCGTAGAAAAGCAGAATTAAGGTCGAGTGCAGGATCGAATCTAGATCGCAATTTTTTTTCTTTTCGATTAATTATGCAGTCCTATTATTTGTTCTCATTTGAAAATAAATTCTGTTCTTATGAAACTGGCATTCATCAAATAATTACAGAAAAACATCACGGTTTCCAGAAAAAAATGGTAGCTCAACAGATTTTAATGTTTATAATATTAAGAAAAAAATGATGTTGAAGTTTCAGATCACCGATACAAATGACATTTCAAACATTTAATTTTTGGTCAAATGTATGTAGCCGTCTTATCAAACTCAACATTTTAAAGGGTAAAATTGCGCTTTCAACCTTAAATATTGTGATTTTTCTTTTGTGAATCACTACGTGTCCATTTGTTTACAAACTAGTAATGAGTAGAAGGTAGTGCTGTCGCCTCACAGCAAGGTCGCTGGTTCGATCCTCGGCTCAGTTGGCGTTTCTGTGTGGAGTTTGCATGTTCTCCCTGCGTTTGCGTGGGTTTCCCTCGCAGTCTAAAGACATGCGGTACAGGTAAATTGAGTAGGCTAAATTGTCTGTAGTGTATGAGTGTGTGTGAATGTGTGTGTGGAAGTTTCACAGAGATGGGTTGCGGCTGGAAGGGCATCCGCTGCGTAAAAATGTGCTGAATAAGTTGGCAGCTCGTTCCGCTGTGGCGACCCCGGATTGGTAAAGAGACTAAGCCGACAAGAAAATGAATGAATGAATAAATAATGATACATTCATTAACAGGAACTGGGCACAACATTGAGACTTTAGCTTATTCTTAGTTTGACCCTCTTCTTTACATAAGTGCCTCCAAGTTTGGACTTTTGTCTCTGCACGTCTTCCATTTGTTGTCTTCAACAATCACATCCAGTTTCCATGACAACCCGAAGTCGACTTTCCACTTTTAGAACATTACATTTGTTTGTCTGAATCTCGATAGAGTAAACTCAATCTTTGACCAAGACTAATGTGCCTCTTATAGCTTTTAAAAGTAGTTGAAGTGTCTGAAAGAACGTTTCAGAGCTCTCTGCCTCTGTCCTGTTGCTCTTTTGAATATGCTTGTAAGATTCTTTCCATCATCCAGACAGTGAGTCAGATTGATAATGCGAAAGCTTGTGTTCGAAGGTCATTTGTGCTATATTGTGTTCTCCTTCTCCTCCTCTTCAGCTGGGCAGATGCTCAGTCTCAGATCCAGAGCATCGCTGCATCTTTTGACCAAGAGGCCGCTGCTATCTTAATGGCCCGTCTTGCTGTGTACAAGGCAGAGACGGAGGAGGGCCCGGATGTTTTGCGCTGGTTGGACAGACAGCTCATCCGCTTGGTGAGTCTTTCAGCGCTTCTTCTTTTAAAGGGGTCATGAACTGCTTTTTTTATTTTTTTCAACAGATCTCTTAGATTCATTTATAATGTTATCAAGATGTTTTTACATCAATAACATTGCATTTTACAAGAAATGTGGTCTATTTTTTATAGTCCCTATTTTGACCACCCCATTAGAACATTTGATTGTTGACTCTAAATCAATCCTTACTTCAGCCCTACTTCATTTCACTGTGAAGTCATTTACAAACAAAGCACAATTCAGCACTTGATTTTTAGTAAGACTGAAACCACAAGATAGTGCTTGATGTGCCAACTATATTCACCTTAATCTCCATATATGAGCGGTCGCAGCCATTTGAATCTTTTGAATCATTAAAAACAGCTTGTTTCACTGCTTGATGTTGCAAATTGATTTTTTTTATTATATATTCTAGTTTGTCTGTGTAATCATGCAAACACATCTTAGTAGAGCTAGCAGTTTGACCGTTTTCTGCCCATTATTGTTTCTAGTCATTTCTCCCATAGGCAACTTAATCAGAAGTTCTAAAACAATCGCAAAAACGTGCACACTTCCAACAAGGTCAATTGGATGCAACAGTACCAAATGTTGCACCCCCCAAATATAATTAACTGTAATTTATTACATATTCACCATTTCTTTTTCTGTTTAAATAGTTTATACTTAGTATTTTAGGGCTATATTTAACCTAAATCAAAGCTGTGTCCATTAATAAAAGATGTAAGCTGTCACATGCAAAAAGTTTACATCGTGGGCACACAGCGGTCCTTTAAAGCCAGTCATACCTAGGGTTGGGTATTGTTTGGGGTTATTTCGATACTGGTGCTAAATTGACTTTTAAAACGTTACCGGTGCCTGAACTGATACTTTTGAGGCACACAATTAAGGTGGATGACTCTAGAAAAATGTTTTATTTTTACAAAAAAATTAAATGTAAAACTTTTTCCTGACCATCTATATAGTTTGGTTGTGTAGACCTGCATTTGCCTCTCATTTTTTAGTTCTACAGCATGAATCAGTGGGCGGAGTTTAGACATACTGTTACATAATCAATTGGCAGATTCCACAGTCTGTCATGTTGCCAGACTGGCAGAAAGTTTTGAGCTCTAAAACTTGCAGGATGCTTTTATGGTAACTGTAAAAAGGGTGTTTTGATTTTCTCAGTTTATGTCCGCTGGGTAAATAATCACTACCTTAACATGTAGCACTACAGTAAATGCACAGCAAATTTACTAAACATTTTCTTCAATTTACAGTGCCAGAAGTTTGGAGATTATCATAAAGAAGATCCCAACTCTTTCCGTTTCTCCGAGACGTTCTCGCTGTATCCTCAGGTACACTTTTGTCTCTCACTCTGAGACTGCACTGAATCTCACTCTAAAGCAGTGTGAAAATGAGGTGTTGATGTTGTTTTTGGCAGTTTATGTTCCATCTGAGGAGGTCGCCGTTCCTGCAAGTGTTCAACAACAGTCCTGATGAAAGCACCTATTACAGGCATCAATTCATGAGGCAGGACCTGACCCAGTCTCTGATAATGGTACAGCCCATTCTGTATGCTTACTCCTTCAACGGACCGCCAGAGGTAAGCATGCAAACCTTCCAACACATTTATGGTTTGCGGGATTTGACTGACTGTTGAGGGTTTCCATTAAAGTGTCAGCTAACCTAGTAATGATCATTCTGTTAGATACTCACCCTCATGTCCAAACCATACCTGTCAACCCTCCCGTTTTTCCTGGGATTCTCCCGTATTTTACAGTTCTATCCCGCTATCATCCTGTAAAGGTATTTTCCCGTATTTCTCCCATATTTTCTGTCTTTCTCTGAAGGGTGACTAATAAACATTTAAAGAGTCAAGCCTTCCTATTGACCTTATTCTAAAATGCGGAAGTGCGCCTGTTTTTGCGATTGTCTTAGAACTTCCGATTCAGTCTCCTATGGGAGAAATGACCAGGAATAATAAACGGCAGAAAATGGCCAAACTACTTGCTCAACAAACAAATGTTTGCATGACTACACAGACCAAGTAGCATAATATAATAAGAAAATATTAAATTGCAACATCAAGCAGCGTAACGAGCAGTTGTTAACGTCAAAAAATGAATGGAAGTGAATGTGACCGGAAGTCGCGAGACAAAAGATTCAAATGGCAGCGCCCACTCGTCAGCTGAGAATAAGGTGAATACGCAATCCCATACCGCCGAACCATTAGGGGCCGCCCCTTGCTCTTAAATGTGAGTCTTTTCTGTGCTTTCACTTTGTTTAGGCATGAAAACACTTTGAAATAAACATAAAAACTCGGGCGAATAGCAGCGCCGCATTTGATTTGAGTTGAATATGAATCACTTCGGGATTTTGTCTGAAACAGGTATGACTGTACAGACATCTTTATGATCAGTGCATGCATGATCATAGGGATAACCAGATAAACAATAATTCTTGGCTAGAAATTGCAACAGCAGTGGGAAAGGAGGAGAGTTTTTGTAAGCGTTTAGAAAAACTTGAGGTATAGGGATAAGTTTGTTAAAACCAACAAGAGAGGCCATGCAAAAGTGGAGACCCAGGGGGTTTTAATATTACAGAATATGTTTTGCCACCATTCATAGGTTTTACACTGATGTATATATTACAATTTTGAATTTAAAACAATGTAATAGTTACAAACTAAAATTAAGTAACAACAAATTATTTCTTTAATAACTGGAAAGGAATATTTGAACCTGTCTGTTTACAATATACTAATGCCCTATTTCTAAGCTGTATTGGTGATAATGGTCAGCAATGTTAGACCATTATTCCCTTTTTAGCTTTAAAAAATCTTGAATGGCTATAAAAATATTTATAATCATTATAATAAATTATAAAAAAAAATAACTAGTTAACCTTGAATGTTATTAATGATATGACTTGGTTACCGAAACTTCCTACTTCTGTTTATTCGTCTGACTTTGTGGTGAGTTTCTTTTGACCGCCTGTCGTTTTAAAGAGCCTCGTTCGTTTCATGAGGTACACGTGCAGCCAGCAGAGGTTCAGTGGTGCATCCAACCTGTCTTCAGTACTGTTTAATTTAAATACATTTATTTTGTCACTAAATTTGTGATTTTTTTTTTCTCTTCATTTTCTCTTTATGTGTATGTGTGTTTTTAATATTGTAATATAGGACGTAAACTTAGGGCTCTATTGTGACGGTCCATGCGCAGAGCGCAAAACGCAGGGGTCAAACGCTTTCAGGGCGTGTCAGAACGCATTTTTGCTAATTTACGGACGGGAAAACCTGCTTTGCGCCAAGGCGCATGGGCTAAAAGGGTTGAGTTTATTTTCTTAATGAGTTATAGGTGTGTTTTGAGAATAAACCAATTAGAGTCTCATCTCCCATTCCCTTTAAGAGCCAGCTGCGTCGTGCCAAGAGCGCATTCGCTATTTACAGGACGCAAAGTAAGTCTAAGTGGAAAAACTGAGCATTTCACAAGCAAACAGTTAACAGTTTTTTAACAGAAAACTGTTAAACAGGGCATCTACTGCGTGAGAATGAGAGATAATGGATCTACTTTCAGTTTCGCTCTTGGATAGGGAAAATATTTGTTTCAAAACTATTTCTAAATTCAGTTCTAATTTCTAGCAAACAAATAAATGAACAATAATGACCAAGTGTGGTCAAAATACTGAGTTATTTCCAAATACACCTGCCATGCCCCATATGGTCTAAAACCTGACAGGTGGGCAAATCTAAGCTTGTTTTTAATAAAACAAATATAAATATGGATATAATAAATAATACTGCTAATAATAATAACATTATACAAAAGCAAATTGTTATGAATGAACTTCATCTCGGGAGGTTTATCAGAAGACATAAAAGCAGTGATTTTTCATATTTATGTAGGCTAGAAAATAATATGTTTTGTAATATTTTAATCATTTATATTTATATTCTATATCTATTCTTATTATATACTATATATATCCTTAATATTTAATTTTTTCATATGTAAAGATATTTGCCTATTGCTCTCTTGTGCGTATTAAGCAGTGCGTAAGCGAGGCGCAACTCTGCGCCGGAGTTTAGACCGGGTTACTTTCGGTCTAATGAAAAATCTATTATAGTTTCTCAAAATAGCAACGCGCCAGCGGTCCGCCTCAGAACGCCTCCCTTTTTAGACCAGAACGCCTATTGGCGCACAAATGAGCGCTAATGCATTTGCTATTTAAACAGCGTAGCGCAACGCCTCAAAACGACTCTTGCGCCAAGCTGAAACTACCAAAAGACTACTGCGCCGCGCCTTGCGCCACACTGCGCCGAGTGGATGATAGGGTCCTTAGTACTTAATGGTCTTATATTTGACATTATGATATCTGCAGAAACCCTGTGTTGGTGCAGATGTTCATAAGCAGTTCTTTTGTTTATTGTTTTTGGAGTACTTAAACAAGACAATTCCAACTATGCTTGAATGTGTTTTATAATAAATGCTGGAAAGTTTTGTTAATAGTGGGGCAAGAGCTCTCTCAAATGACTTTTTATTTAAAAGATTTTTGAATGCATCAAATAAAAGACAGGTAATAAATGTCAAATCATGGAAAATTATGTTAATGGAAGGGAAAGAGTTGAGTTAAATGACTAAACTTTTTTTCTAATGCCGTTGGAAGCATTATCAAACGTCAAAAACATTCCATTAACATCAAGTGTTAATAAGTATTCACAGTACATCATGTGCCATGACATGTGACATTGAATCTAAAGTGCCTTGTCATGATAACTGTGCACATGATGTCCCCTGAGTCAACAGATTAAAATGTACGTTTAATTAGTGCGCTGTGATCTTATTACCATTCAAAGCTCAGACTATCACTGGCTGTTATTGTTTTTAAACCTATTTTACTAAAAGGCCTGAAAGTTGCACGTATTTTCTCACACATTTTGTGAGGGTAAAAACTACTTCATTAATAGGTTGTAGAAACTTCTTTAGTTTAGTAGAGTGAATTAAACATCATCAAGATGATGATACAACAAGCAACTCACACTGACTTGTATTATTCTAATCTGCTTTAATGGAGGGCTCAGTGTTTTTCCCCTGACGCTGAGACCAGAAGCAGCTGAGCTTTCAGGAAAGATGTTTATCAAAGCATCTAATTGAGAGTGACAGTCCAGTAAATGCTTTTGTTTCTTGTTGTTGTAGCCTGTGTTGCTGGACAGCAGCAGTATCTTGCCCGACCGCATCCTCCTCATGGACACTTTCTTCCAGATTCTGATTTACCACGGAGAGGTAAGATTGAGGAGGAGAAACAGCACGCGTCCTGCTTTCCTGCTGTGATTTATTTCCCCGGTGACTAGATAGACGTTGGTTTAGCGCCAAGTCTTTTTCATGTTTTCAATAATTAAGAATACAGTCTGCTTTCTCAGTCCCGCTATGAGAACGGTTCAATAATCTGTGCGCATGAAATCCAAGCCAGTAAACTGAAGCAAGTTTAAACTTGGCTGCGTTTCAGAGGACGGACGTTTTCTGATGAAACACTTGTAGGTGTCTCGCTGAAGTACATGCTAATGAAGTGAAATTTGAAACAAATGCAGTGAGATGTTCCCATAGTCACAGCTCAGCAAACACACTTGCACCAGTAAACAAGACGAGTGTTCAGATTTGGCTTGTTGTTGTTGTGTGAGTTGTGACAGATGCACTGTGTTTTCCCCTCATGTAGACTGTGTCTCAGTGGCGTAAAGCCGGGTACCAGGACATGCCCGAGTATGAGAACTTCCGCCACCTGCTTCAGGCTCCAGTCGATGATGCTCAGGAGCTTCTACACACTCGTTTCCCCATGCCACGCTACATCGACACTGAGCACGGCGGCAGTCAGGTACAAACAACATTAAATCATGCCACAGGAAATGTACAGCTGAAGTCAAAGTTATTAGCCCTTGTGTGATTTTCTTTTTTTTTTTTCAAATATTTCCCAGATGATGTTTAACAGAGCAAGGAAATTTTCACAGTATTTCCTATAATATTTTTTCTTCTGGAGAAAGTCTTAATTGTTTTATTTCGGCTTGAGTAAAAGCAGTTTTTAATTTTTAAACACCATTTTAAGGATAAAATTATTAGTCCCTTTAAGCTCTTTTTTCTTTCCCATTATCTAACAACTTGCCTAATGACTAGGGATGTAACGGTATCAGAATTTCACGGTACGATAATACCTCGTTATAAACGGCACGGTACGGTATTTATTGAATAATTTACAGGAAAAACAAAACTAATGAAAAGACTCGAAAAAAGTGCCAAAAGTGTTTATTTACCTTAGCACTGAACATATTAATGACATACAAATTTATCTATCTGTATTTATCCATCCATCTATCTGTAAGTTTCGAAACAGGAACTTCAATTTTTCAATTTTAATAACAAAAAACTAATAAACCATATAAAAAAAATAAAGTTTCAATTTAGTATTGTTGAAAACTCGTCACATTCAACATTTAATCACTCACTCACTTAGATAGAGATGGGTTTTTTAAGGAATTATCATATAACTATAATCTGGTAAAAGCTGGGATCTCTGGGCATGTCCCCTGCAACAGAAAAAAGCCCTCTCATTTGGGACTGAAGTTTCTGGGACAGAGAGATATGATTTAGCCAAGGTTGACAGCAGTGGGTAACGTTGTGCATTGTCTTTCCACCACTTGAGAGGACAAGCCATGAGTGAGATAGAGGTCTCTTTACGGTACAAGTCAATGTCTGCATCAATCTAACAAGTGTGCTGTGTTCTGCAGTCCCCATGACTGTTTTTAGTCGTATTTCCCGACTTATATTTCACCACAGTTTGGCAGTGCCTGCATACCGTTTTTGTCTTTGTCTGTCACCTTTTCTCCTTTTTCGTATCTTTTTAGAAAGAAACCGAAATGCTTCCACACATCCGATTTAAAACCCGCTTTAGGTTCGATCATTTCCAGCTCTTTTTCTTTCACGCTACTAGCAGCACACTCCATTTCCGCATTACTGGATCTGTAGTGACAACAGACCGCAAAGGATGATGGCCACGCCTAGGCTGATGGGAATTGTAGTTCCCGCTACCTCCCATTCGCTTCATTTGCCTAAGCAAACTTTTCTCAGAAATCTAGTTTTATTGAGTCATGCGACTACGGTAATATTGAAAAAAATTACTATTGCGGTATGATGGTATTTACAATATTGTTACATCCCTACTAATTACCATAACCTGGGGTGCTTAATTTAGACTAAAATAAAAGAAAGGCTAGAATTTATAATTTTTTAAAAAACATTTTAAGTTCAATATTATTAGCCCCCTTAAGCAGTATTTTTATTCAATAGTCTACTGAACAAACAATCATTATACAGTGACTTGCCTAATTACCCCAACTTGCCTAATTAACCTAGTTAAGCCTTTTACTGTCACTTTAAGCTGAATACAAGTGTCTTGAAAAATAGCTAGTCAAATATTATGTACTGTCATCAAGGCAAATATAAAAGAAATCAGTTATTAGAAATTAATTATTAAAACCAAATACTGCTGGCAGAAACAAAACAAGTCAAAACTGAACTATAATAAGCTCGCAACCTACTTAGCTATATTGGCAATTTGGTCAGTGACCCTTTATGCCACCTAATATAGGCTAGTCCAGCCTGAAATGTAAGTTTGTTCATGGGGCAGATGATGTCAGATTTTTGTTGCTGACTTGAAATATGTCATTTGTTCACAATACTGATCCATCCACAGAGTTTGTAATATAGTCATATGTTTCCAAATAAAAGTGCAGCTGTTTAGAGGCCATTTCTGGTTAATGGTGTCAGAATTTTCCGGTATTTCGCTTTTTTGAGGTCATTCTGGTAATTTTCAGTATATTTACCGGTATTACTATGTGAAAGGGGCTAATGATGCCATGGGAGAGAGAACTTGTAAACGGCAGTGAAGCAACGCAAGTAAAACCGTAAAAACTATACAAATTCCCAATTAGTATAATAACCCATTATTTACTCAAGCCTCGTATAGAATAATTATCATATGTAAGGTTGAATATTCAATGTTCAGAAAACAGCAATCCAAACTTAAAATATATATTAGAAAGCCTAATTGGATGTAAGAGTAGGATAAACTTTGCTCATTCCCTCATTCCTCATTTCTTTGTTATAGTCCCTTTATTAAGCAGGGGTTACCAAATGTGCATAAACTATGATGTAATTTATCAAATAATTTAGCATGCTCATCAAATAGTCGTGATTTTGTTTTAATTGATCATGTGTTGACAAAAATGGGAGGGATGGAACGGCATTATTAGACAAATCAGCAGACCGACCACATTGTAAAACTTCTGAAATGTTGGTTTGGCCATTCTAAAATGCCTCAGCCAAAGTCTGTGATCAAAGTGGTTCAGTAATATTACCTCCAGAACTGTCTCGTGCCCCTACACTCCAAAAAAGTGGTCTCACAGCATCCAAAAGTCATTGCCTATTCACAGAGAGTCCTGTCTTTGTCTTTTGAGGCAAAAGAAATTTACTATATAAGAAAAAAGGCCTACAGTGGCTTCTCTTACCGCAGCAAATGACATTTTTCTTTAGAAAAGGTTTGGCTATTAGGCTCCAGTTTATCAGGAAGTGTTGATTTTGATTCATTTTGACTCATTAGATTGAAACAGTGCTTTATTTGCAAATATTTTTATGCAATATTTTAGTTTTATTTAATTTGCACTGTTGAATGGAAGCATCAGCTCAAGCATCAAACCACAAGCTATTGTTTTAAAACCTGCTCCATCCTAAGTCAGCTCCCTTATAAGCTGCTGTCCACTCTCCAGTATGCATGTGAAACATGTAAGGCGGGACTCACAGTTGATTTAAAAAAAATCTGACTTTATCATGTTGCTAAGTGATAATCTCATGAGCAAGAATTAATTTCTAAGGGCATCATTTTACCTTTGCTCCAGAACCCTCTTAGCAACGTTGGTGGATTATTGTGTTTTTATGATATCTATGGCAACAGTTGTGACATAAAATATGCCCAAATATGACATTTAGTAATTGTAAGTATAAGAAACAAACAAACAAGCAATTCTTGTGCCAAGTAATACAGTTTAATAGCCCGGCTGAGGTTTATGTTTGCCAGGAAGCATAACAAATCAAACATCATTCTTAGTATTGCAGCCAACATTTAAGTGCACTTGGCCCTTCAATATGGCGTTCAGTTGATGTCTGGTGGTGTGTGTGTATGTGACTGACAAGGTTATTAATGTTTTGCATATTTAAATGAGATTTTACTTTAACGCAGCAGTTTGTTTCAATTAAATGTTCTTTGTTAGTTTTACTTGATTTATAATTTGTGATCACATTTCGGTTTAGTTTTTATATATTTAGTTTCAGTTTTAGTAAAGAGTTAATAGGTCATGTCCAGCGTCAACCAAAGCAAACTTTAATGTTTGCACAGCTTGTATTAACTCTTGTGCAAACCTCTCAGTAATACAACAAAGTAATTGTTTGAACAGACACTGAAGGGAACTATACTATAAACTATACAAATGCAGCTCAAACGAATTAAAGTCAAAATGATGTGGAATTTAAACCAACATATTCATATTAAACATCATACATGTAGTAAAACAAGTAAAGAAAAACAAGTTTACATTTTTGGCAACTGAACAAAAGTTTAGTTTAAATAACATTTAATGTTTAATCAAATTTTTATGTGCTTGACTGATGTGTTGGGCTGTAAAAGCACCATCTACAGCTACTTCTCTGACCAGCCTCAGGTCAGATTAAACAACAACATTAAATTATTATTTGATTTCAGTTAGTTTCTCTGTGACTTTGATTGGTTTTAGTTTTAGTTGTTTCATTATTATTAATTTTTTAGTTAATAATGTTTTTAGACCAACAGTCTAACCAACCGACTAGTCTTAGTTTTCGTTTCATAAAATCATTTTAATGCTTGGTGCACACTATTTTACAACCAAATTTCATAGCCAGATCTACTTATTTTGTTCAAAATAACAAGCAAAAACAAATCTGAGAAGAGTCATATATTTGTTTAACACCTAATTCTAAACTGGTCCGGGCAAATATTTATAAATCACTATATACAGTCCAACCAGTTTTTGTTTGCTAAAATAACCTTAATGCATAGTGCATAGACCTGGCTGTGAAATTTGGCTGTAAAATAGCGTGTACTAAGCGTTTTGTTCAAAACAACAAGCAAAGAAAATCATACTTGTTTAACACAATACTGCATGAGTCAGTGCAAATATTTATAAATCACTATATACAGTCTAACCAGCTAACTTTAGTTTTTGTTTACTATAATAACTTTGATGCGTGGTGCACACTATTTTGCATCCAAATTTCACAGACAGATCTAACAATTTTGTTTAAAATAATTCACAAAATAGATAAATCTGAGAGAATCATATTTGTTTAGCACATAATTCTGCATGAGTCAGTGCAAATACTTATAAATCACTATATACAGTCTAACCAGCTAGCTTTAGTCTTAGTTTTTGTTTACTAAAATAACTTAATTGCATGGTGCATGCTATTTTACAACCAAATTTCACAGGCAGATAACCATTTAAAAAAAGCAACAAAAAAAAAAAATAAAATAATTCTGAGATAGCGTATTTGTTCGACACAAAATTCTGCATCAGTGCGTGCAAATATTTATAAATTGCTATCTACAGTCTAACCATGTAACTTTAGTCTTAGTTTTCGTTAACTAAAATAACTTTGGTGCGTAGTACACGCTATTTTACAGACAAATTTCACAGCCAGATCTAACCGATTTGTTCAAAATAACAACAAAAACTTTAGAATTATATTGGTTTAACACATAATTCTGCATCAGTCAGTGCAAATGTTTATAAATCACTATATACAGTCTAACCAGCTAGCTTTAGTCTTAGTTTTCATTAACTAAAATAACTTTAATGCATGGTGAACACTATTTTACAACCAAATTTTACAGCCAAATAACCATAACAAAATTTAAATAAAAAAACCTGAGAGAAATATATTTGTTTAGCATATAACTACATTAATCAGTGTAAATATTTCTAAATCGCTATATACAGTCTAACTGTGCGTTCACACCGAAAACAGTGAGAGCGCCCAAGGTCGCTCTGGCTTTCTTGGCGACTTTAATTTTAGTTTTTGTTTAATAAAATACCTTTGGTGCATAGTAAATCCTATTTTACAACCATCTGTCACAGCCAAATAACCATTAAAAATAATAACAACAACAAAATCTGAAAGAATCATATTTAACACATAATTCTGCGTCAGTGAGTGCAAATGTTTATAAATCACTATATATAGTCTAACCAAATGACTTCACTTTTAGTTTTTGTTTAATAAAATAATTTTGGTGCATAGTAAATCCTATTTTTTCAACCATATTTCACAGCCATATAACCATTAAAAAAAACAACAACAACAAAATCTGAGAGAATTATATTTGTTTACCACATAATTCTGTATTTCGACAGTTTAAATATTTATTAATCGCTATATACAGTCTAACCAGATAGCTTTAGTCTTAGTTTTCATTAACTAAAATAACTTTAATCCATAGTGCACACCATTTAAAATCCAATATCATAGCCAGATCTAACAGTTTTGTTAAATGTAACAAATAAAAAACTGAGAAATCATATTTGTTAAATGCATAATTCTGCATCAGTGAGTGCAAATAATTATTAGTCGCTATATTCAGTCTAACCAGCTAGCTTTAGTCTTAGTTTTTATTAACTAAAATAACTTTAATGCAAGGTGCACACTATTTTACAACCAAATTTAAAAGCCAGATCTAACTATTTTGTTAAATAACAAAAAACAAAACAAAAAAAACACAGAGAAAATCTTATTTGTTTATCATAATTCTTCATTAGTCAGCGTAAATATTTAGAAACTGCTAGTCTTGCTGTCTAACCTTAGTGTTAGGGTGCTTTCACACCTACACTTTTGTTTCGGAACCTGTGTCGTTTGCCCAGTTAGCGCGGTTCGTTTGGCATATGTGAACAGGGCAATCGCGCTCTGTTCCGCTATATGAAGAGAGAATTATGAGTGTGGCGAGAAGTTTCGCAAGTCTCCGGATGACCGCAAACGAATGACGATCTCCCGATAATCTCTTGTTTCCCTCCCGGTCCTCAAATAGGCATCGTCGCGCACCCTTCTCACCCCTCCCCACCGTATCTCTCCTCAGACACGTCACGCGCACCTTGTCAATAACCACCAAACCACCGCCTCTCCTGACAGCTGAGCAGGACGCTGCAAAATAAACCCTGACACTCTGACTAATGTGAGGAGAGTTTACTAGCACGTGACTTGTTTTAGCTCTTTTGGTCCGATTAGAAACTTTGCATTGTGAAAGCGAACCGCTCCAAGAGCAAAGAGCAACAATGTAACATTTGTAATCTCTGTTTCAGAACAACTGAATCGATTCACAGGTGTGAAAGCACCCTCAGTTTTCATTTACTAAAAAAAGCTTTGGTGCATGGTGCACACTATTTTACAACAGAATTTCACAGCCAGAAAACCATTTTAAAAAACTAGAGTGAATCATATTAGTTAAACACATAAATCTGTATTCTTCAGTTTAAATATTTATAAATCGTTATATACAGTCTGACCAGCTAACTTTAGTCTAAATTTTTGTTTGCTGTAGTAACTTTAATACATGGTGCACACTATTTTACAACCAAATATCACAGCCTGATCTAACTGTTTTGTTAAAAAATAACAGCAAAGAAAATCTGAGAGAATCATATTTGTTTAACACATAATTCTGCATGAGTCGGTGCAAATATTTATAAATCATTATATAAAGTCTAACCAGATAACTTTAGTCTAAATTTTTGTTTACTAAAATAATTGTAATGCATAGTGCACACTATTTAAAATCTTATTTCACAGCCAGATCTAACGGTTTTGTTCAAAATAACAAAAAAATAAATAATAAATTTGAGCAAATCATATTTGTTTAACGCATAATTCTACATGAGTCAGTGCAAATATGTATAAACTGCTCCACAAAACCAGCTCTCTGGGTTCTCAATCCTTGATTAACGACGGCTCAAATGAAATGTGCAACTTTGAAAGCTGTTGTTCCGACAGCTCTTTTGTCACTTTCTACGCTTCGGTGACTCGCCCCCGAGATTTTTTAAACGTCGCTTGTGAATAAATGACTGTAACAGGTCATCAAGACTCAGCTTCTGTTTTGCTTATCAACCGTTTTAAAGATGCATCAAGATTTATTTCTTCTCTCCCTCCAGGCTCGTTTCCTCCTCTCCAAAGTCAATCCTTCTCAGACTCACAACAACATGTATGCATGGGGTCAGGTGAGTGCTGTACATCTCACAAGCACATTTCCCTCCGCCAGCAATATTGATTAGTCTGCTGTAACAAGTTGCTGTTCTACAGCTCCATAAACACGTCTGGGCTTGTTCTAATATTGTATTACCCGCACCGCCGCTGATTGAATCACACTTCCTCTGTTTGTGTAGGAGTCTGGCGCACCCATTCTGACAGACGACGTGAGTCTTCAGGTGTTTATGGATCATCTGAAAAAGCTGGCGGTCTCTAGCGCCGCATAAAAGCTTTCTCTCATCAGTAACACACAGCCAGCAGGGTCACATTGGTACTGCCCTCAGTTTTTTTTCCTATTTACATCATGCATAAATGGAGCACAGATTTCAGAAGAGAGACTGAATCGATCGGGAAGGAGCGTATGATTCGTAATGATCATTGCGAGGCTGTGTGTCATAACACTACATCATGGCAAGATGTTTGTTACTGTTAATCAGAGAAACAGCTGTGTTATTTAGCTGTGTGACGAGGGTTAGTTCACACTAAATGAAAACGTACTCATCCTCAAGTGGTTATAAACCTTTCTGTCGAACAGCTGAAAACCTGTAACCATTGACTCCTTTGTAGTAGGAAAAACAAAAACTATGGAAGTTTTTTTATCTAAATATCTTATTTTGTGTTTTACAGAAGAAGAGAAACTTAGTTTTAAACAAGTAAATGGTGAGGTAAATGACAATGTTTATTTTTGGGTGAGGTATCCACTATTTAAAGAAATAGTTTACATAAAAAAATGAATATTTAGTTGATAACTTTCACACTAAAAGAACATTTACTCACGATTTACTCATCTTAAAGTGGTTATAAATCTGAGTTTCTTTCTTCTGTTGAACACTGAAGACGATATTTTGAAGAAAGCTGAAAACCTGTAACCATTGAACTCAATAATAGAAAAACAAATAGAATGGGAGTCAATGGTTACAGGTTTTCAACATTTTTCAAAATATCTTCTTTTGTGTTTAACAAAAAAAAAAAGTTTGCAGCAAGGAATGGGTGAGGTAAATGACAGAATGTTAATTTCTGTGTGTGGTATCCACTATTTAAAGAAATAGTTTACATAAAAAATGATAATTTAGTTGATATTTTCTCACTAAAAGAACATTTACTCACTATTTACCCATACTCAGGTGTTCATAAATTTAAGTTCTTCCTTCTGTTGAACACTGTAGAAGATATATTTTGAAGAAAACAATTGACTTCCATAGTATTTGTTTTTCCTACAATGGAATGGTTACAGGTTTTAAGCATTTTTCTAAATATCTTTTTTTTTTTGTGTGTTTTAACAGAGGAAAAAGTAAATGATGAACATTTTTGTTTCTGGATGAACTATCTATTTAAAGAAATGGTTTACACAAAAAAAGAGATTATTTAGTTGATATTTTCACACTAAATGAAAATTCTCTTACTATTTACTCAGTTTCTTTCTTCTGTTCAACACTAAAGATATTTTAAAGAATGTTGAAAACCAGTAATGATTGACTCTTCTATAATAGAAAAAAAAATACAATGTGAGTCAATGGTTACAGATTTTCAGCATTTTTCTAAATATATTCTTTTGTGTTTTACAGAAGAAAGAAACTCATAGAAGTTTGAAACAAGTAAACAATGGCAGAATGTTCATTTTGGGTGAAGTATTCAATATTTAAAAAAATAGTTGAACACTAAAGATATTTTGAAGAAAGCTGAAAATCTGTAACCATTGACTTCCATAGTGGGACAAAACAAATACCATGAAAGTCAGTGGTTACATGTTTTCAGCATTTTTCTAAATATCTTCATTTTTTGTTTTAACAGAGAAAAATAAACTCATAAAAGTTTGCAACAAGGGCGAATAAATGATGACAATTTTCGCTTCCGGGTAAACTATCTATTTAAAGAAATGGTTTACAGAAAAAAATCATTATTTAGTTAATATTTTTACACTCAATGAAAATTCACTCACGATTTACTCATCCACAAGTGGTTATAAATCTGTCTTCTGTTGAACACTGAAGAAGATATTTTGAAGAAAACTAGAAACTATTGACTTCCACAGCAGGAAAAACAAATACTATGGGAGTCAATGGTTACAGGTTTTCAGTATTTTTCTAAATATCTTCTTTAGTGTTTTACAGAAGAAAGAAACTTGTAAAAGTTTAAACAAGTAAATGATGACAGAATTTTCATTTATGGGTGAACTATTCATTTAAAGAAATAATTTACACCCACACAAAGTATTTTGTTGATATTTCCACACTAAACAAAAATTAATTACAATTTCCTCATCCTCAAGTAGTTATAAAGTTGAGTTTCTATCTTCTGTTCAACACTGAAGAAGATATTTTGAAGAAAGCTGAAAACCAGTAACCAGTGACTCCTCTGTAGGTAAAACAAACACTATGGGAGTCAATGGTTACAGATCTTCAACATTTTTCAAAATATCTTCTTTTGTGTTAAACAGAAGAAACTCAAAGTTTGCAACAAGTGAATTAACAATATAATTTTCATTTTTGTGAACTATCCCTTCAAAGAAATAGTTTACACACAAAAAAGATTTAGTTGATATTTACTTACCCTCATGCTATTCCAAATTGTACACAAACCACTATTTCTTAATAATTATTTACACAAACATATGTCTTATGCTTTATTTCTGAGTTTTTAAAGTCATTTAACTGATTGGTTTGCCTCTGAAATTTGGAAACTGGCACATTGGTTTCATTTTATGCACCTATTTTGAGTGAACTAGACATGCGTTTTCTAAATTACAACTTACAAAGGTATCATTCAGCTTTAAAAAAAACTGGAATTTATTGCATATTTATCAAGTTTGTGCTTCTTTAATATAGCAAAAGCCAAAAACTGTTCTTTAGAAGCTGTTACTGTGGGTTTTAGTGAAACCAAAATTGCAGCACGTGGATTTGGAACAGCATGAGGGAGAGTAACTATTATTGTTCTTATTTGGGCTGAATTGTAGCTTTGAATCTGATGTTCATGCATATGAAGCTCTGTGATGAGACCTGATGTTGAACAGAGAGAGGAAACCGTTTTTTAAGCACACCTGCAGCAGATACTTTTGTTTGCCTATAGTGGAGGAAGGTGAACGCAGTGCCATTGTAGCCAATTAAGCATGAGAGCTGGAACGCCGCCTCTAGCCAGCAGTGCAGAACAATGGCTTATTTTTAGACGCTGTCTCTCGTCTCGCTGAATGTTGAAGGTTCGTTTCAGCGCAGGGTTGAGCGCTCGATTCCAAACACAGACTTGCGGAATTTGTACGCTGCCTTTCTGTCTGTCGCTCTGATATTTATAAGCCATTTCTAGCAGTATTGTATGTTTTGTTTCTAATAAAACCGGCTTCGTGATCCCAGCTGGTCGGCTGAGTTCTGAAACTATTCTTTCTTTGTCGCTCTCGTCTTTCAAGTTGGCATCCTGCAAATCTCAAAGGACACAAAAGCCACCTGTGCCTCGCTTTGTGTTTTTTCGGGTAAAGGAATAGTTGAAAACACTGTCATTTTTTTTTTATCCTCATGTCAATGCACACAGCATGTCTATCATCTCTTATCTATGCTGAGTTTGATTGACCCAAGGGGTGAACTGTTCCTCAATATTGTGCAACTTGGAATTTGGGTTGTTTTGTGAAGTAATTTACTGCATTTATACATCAGGAAGTACCATAATGCAGTTCATGTCCAGCACAAACAACCCAAAAAAGATCCCATTTCACCATTTCAGCGGCTGTTTATACTGATGGCCACATGGGAGCAGCAATTAACAAGACAGCACTGCTCCATCTAGAATTATTTAAAGAGACAGTTCACTAAAAATCAACATTACTCACCATCTACTCTTTCTGAAGTGGTTCTCTGCTAAAATAGTTGGGTTAAAAATACACCAACATACAACCCAACTATAGGTTATTATAGCACCATCCCAACTATGGGTTATTGCATTGGGTTGTTTCGATTAAATGTAATTTTTTTTCCATTCTGGTATTACTATTGCTACCATTACTAGTACTACTATTTAATTTATTATTGTGGCTGGGTAAATAAATAACATACAGTTTACAAAAATATTAAAAATGCTTTCATTTTAGTTCCAGACACTTTTGTTAAAATAAATTTAGAATCACAAACAATGAAGAAACAGAACAAAGTGCAGACAGTTATAATCTGAGCAAGCAGAAAGTGCTGTGTTGATGGAGCAGATTATGGGGCTCTGTGTGCTGTAGAGACTGTCCAGCAGCTGCAGCAGGCTTGTCCACTAGGGATGCAGCAATACAGTTAGACCATGGTTCAATACATACCTCGGTTTTTTAACACTGTTTTTGGTTCGGTTCTCATGGCTTGACAATTATTTATTTTTTTATACTATAGGCAATAGGAACAGTAAGAGGTTAAGGAGAGAAAAAATAAAATCGATTTATTGCAATACGTATTTTGTTTTACTTAAAAGCCAAGAAAGTACTCTAGTACCTAGTGTATTGCATAAAAAAATTAACAGTGAAATCTCACAGCTGCTGGTAGCCCATGTACAAACTGGGGAACACATAAAATTCTACACTTTGAAAATAAACATAAATGTGAAGTTAATAAAGATAAACTGGCCATTTCAAATAAACATTTTTACTTCAGTAAACATAAATAAACAATCTTAATTATCTTGGTGCTGAAAAAATGCGAGACTTTAGTCTGTAATGCGGATCAAGTGCCTTTATAAGATGACAAAAGTCCACATCTCCAATCACTGAAAACGACTGTAAATCTTTAGCAATAAACACCCGCACTGCCTTTGTTATTTTATGTGTCTCTCGAAACCAGTTGGGTATGTTTCCTGGAAGGATTCAGCGAGAGATTGCTGCTGTTTGGAGGACTGTATTACCTTTGCTGCTATTCTGCCTTCAGACAGTGATATTGTTGGGTGATGGCGCTGCAGATGTGCAGTCATGTTTATACGTGTAAAATAATGCTTGCACACAGTTATTTTTTGTTCACCGTTTTTTTATTGGCATGATGCTTACCGGCAAAAACGAAATGTCCTCACACCGCAGTTTTGAAAGACACCGGCGCTTTCTCGTACTGTTGCCTCACTTCGCCGGCGCTTCCTTGTACTGTTGCCTCAGCCTCACTTCACCACCGCTCGCCATGTTAAATTGTGGAATGATGGTCAAGCGCCCCTTAACTTTAGAGCATAGTGATTGGATATTTACTCGCGGGGTGGAGTTTCCTCTTCTCATCTCATCAACTTAAAGGCGCACACACAGTTAATTCGGGGAGATATAAAACGCACATATATTATTTAAAAGCAAAAGCAAGAAAACCGCAATTAACAAGTGCGTATTGAACCGTGGATGTCGTACCGTACGATTCAATGTTATATTGAGAACTGTGGCATCCCTAGTGTCCACAATGTACAATACATTTAACCACGACCAAACGCTTCTAAAAGATGGTCCTGGATGGTGAAACAGAAATATAAAAACCACGACACAGAGGTAATTTGTTAAAAAATAACAACAAAATTATAGTGTTATAGCTTAAATAAACTTTATAACGCAAAAACAACATTACGCATAATATTAATACAGCTGTTTTGTGTCAGTTAAATCAGTTATCTGTTAAAATACAAAATTTCAACTTAACTGGTTGAGTTATTAATAAAATATCCGAATAAAGGTTAAAAATAACCCAACAAAGCACCAAATATGTTTGACTCAACCATTGGGTTAAATAAATAACCCTTTTTAGAGTGTTTCAAAGCGCAAGCAGTGTCCTTTTTCCTGTTGAACACAAAAGAAGATATTTTGAAGAATGTTACAAACGTGTAACCATTGACTTCCATTGTAGGAAAAACAAATACTGCAAGTCAGATCTTCAACATTTTTCTAAATATCTTCTTTTGTGTTCAACAGAAAAATGAAAGTCGGACAGAACTTGATGACATTATTTTCAGTTTAGGTCAGGGATGGGCAAACTTGATCCTCGAGGGCCGGTGTCCCTGCATAGTTTTGCTCCAACCCTAATCAAAACACACCTGCCTGTAGCTTTCTAGTGATCTTGAAGACTCTGATTAGTCAGGTGTGTTGGTGTTCAGGTGTGTTTGATTAGTGATGGAGCAAAAGTCTGCAGGGACACCGGCCCTCGAGGATCAAGTTTGCCCATCCCTGGTTTAGGTGAACTGTCCCTTTAAGAAGTTTCTGCAGTCAGCCCAGAATTTTAATGGAAAGCAGTGACTAGTGTCTGCCTTCAAGTGTTCATTATTTGAGAGAGCACCATGTTATTGCAGGTAAGGTTTCTCATTTGTCACTCTATCAATAGTTTTATGGATTGTGCTGTCAAATAGGCATGCCAGAGTGTTCATGCTTATTAAATTCAACACTTCATTAGGCCGGTATGAAAGGATATTACTTACACCCCCTGGGAATAATGTAGTGTATAATCTGTCATCTACAGTCGGATCCTATTGTGCATTATGAAAGCTTGTGAAGTAACTTTACCTGTAAATTCCTTCACATTGTCTTGCACTTTTATTTACCTCTCTCGACTCTTTCTAAAATTGCGTAAGACGCCCAGATAGCACAGGTACGTCGTGGAGACATCTTTGAAAGATCGTAACATCTGCTAAACATTGCATTCGATCGAACGTTTTTATTTGTTAATGAGCCATCTTCCTTACCTCTATACAACGTCTATACGATGAATCTTAAGCTCCTGAAATTACCTAGGCATGGCAAGCTCTGGTAAACAGACGCAACCAGCTTAAACTAGAATGAGGAGGATGAATAATCATATCCAAAGGACAAGAAATATGGTAATTAAAATACTCAGGAGGCTGAGATGGAAATTGTTTCACTTCCAAATGAACTGTTGGTTTTCAGCTGAAATACAAAAGTAATGTGGGACAAAGACATCTCAAGGAACAAAATACGAAGACATAATGTCCCGAGAAGTACAGAATGCTCCAGAATATGTTTATTTCTCATCAGAAATGACGTTGTCCATTACAGACTACCGTAATCTACAGTAAAATACAGCGTCAAACTAAATGCATTATTGTTTTGGTCTGGACTAAGTCAACCACTACAGTCAGATTTTACAATAAGGTTTCATTAGTTCATGTATTTACTAACATGAATCACAGGCAATTTTCCGGAGAGTTCTGTATGTGTGAACAGGCCCTTTTTGAAAATACTGGTAAATTTATTCCGGCAATTTTCCAGAAAGAGAAGTTATAACATTACCGGTAATTTGTCGGAATGATGCACTGTGGGAACACAGAAGGAAGATTGCTGGAAATCTTATTTATCAGGGGTCACCACAGTGGAATGAACTGCCAAATATTCCAGCATATGTTTTACAAAGCGGATGCTCTTTCAACTGCAACCCAGTACTGGGAAACACCCACACACGCACAATCTATGGTCAATTTAGTTTATTCTATTCACCTATAGTGCATGTCTCCAGGAAACCGGAGCACTCTGTGGAAAACCATGTGAACAAGGGGAGAACATGCAAAAGTCCATACAGAAATGCCGACTGGCCCAGCCAGGACTCAAACCAGCGACCTTCTTGCTGTGAGGCAACAGTGCTAACCACTGAGGCTTTGTGCCACCCAATTTAGAGACAATGGGAGTAAAAGATGCTTAATAATCCTGTCAGTTTGATTGACTTAATCTTAGAAAACAAACATTTACTCAAATCACTACCTAGAAAATATAAAATCTCGAGTTTGTTTTGACAAATTAAGACATATGTTTATATCAAAACCACATCTGGAGATCTGCTTAAACCCAATCTCTCATAACATCCTCCAGAGAGCTTGATAATGATTTTATCTCCTGCCAGAAATGCTCCAGTAATTACAGCGCAAGATCTGCAGCATTTGAGTGTAAAATCTGCTCTTTAATTATGCATAGATTTGATCAAATCTCCATGACTCATTGAAAGAAAAATCAGTGCAACAGATTTCGGGTCAGTGTGTCTCACTTTTCCATTTCATTAGCCATGATAGATCTGGCTAATTAACCCACACAGTTCTGGCCTCTCACAGATGGGTGGAAATACACTCAATATGGCAAATGAAGGAACAGCCTTGCTGATTGACATCCTCAAAACGTGTCTCTAGATTGGAGTGTGTTTTTATCACATGATCAAACTCGGATCATTGAAGAACGTGAATGATCAGGTCACATCGATTACAAGCAGACCAATAACACGGCTGCCTAAATAAATGAACCCAGGTTTTATTTTTAGAGGTTTGTCCTTTGGGGATATAAAGTGTTTCAGCAGGGTTTAGAATAAGCAGCTATTTGGTCCTTGTAAACAGGACAACTGTTTGTCTTTTAAGCATTAGGTGAACGATTTATCTGTGACTCCATTATGTCACAAAAGAG